GCGTTATTTTTCAAAGAGTAGCCAAATTATAAACTAAGTCCAAATATGAAAAATGATATAACGTTGAATAAATACTTCTACTTTTATTTAAAATTATCCCAAAATGAATGTGATATATTTGGGCAACGACGTGTTTGCGTACCGATTGACAGAATTTTTGAGATTTTTTTAATAAAGTTTTCTTCACCATTTGTGTATATTACTTATTCTGAACTGTCCCTGCAAATTCGGCGGGTATTTACAAAATAACCTTGAATAAACAAATCAAGAAAACTTAATAAAAAAATATGCCTAAGTATTGTTATCTTTAAAAATAATCACATAATGAATACTAGCTTTATTTCATTAGAATGCTTTTTAAGTGTATGTGTGTAATATTACGGGAAATCTTTTTATAATAGCATAGATGCCGCATAGATTGCCTCATAGGCTAATTATCAAAATCAGTTCGGTTCAGTGGTTTCAAGGTTATCAGCTGTTTTGTTTCGGGTTTTTTTTTTAATTTTCTATTTATATTAATTATGACAGCTGATAAAACGACCGTTACATTATTAATAATAGTATTTTATATTCTTACCTGGTCTGCCGTAAAGTTTGGTACTGCCATGTGATGGATACTCTTCGTAATAACTTATTCCTGGTTCTCCTTTAGGTCCTACAATAGATACTCCTGGTGAACCTGGTGGACCTGGAGGACCTGGTGGACCTGGGGGACCAGGTACAAATTGCACAGCATCAGATCTTTGTCCAGATGGACCAGGAGGACCTGGAAGTCCTTGAGCACCTTTTTCTCCAGGTGTTCCGTCAAAACCTCGTTCACCTTTTTCACCTTTAAACTGTAAAAAATTAATGTATTTACATAAGGCGTTTATTCCTTTACCTCATCACATTGTTAACTATCAACAACTGGACATTTGGGAAATCTTGTCCTTCATGATAGTCTTCTATTTAAAGGCAAATCCACTCTGTTTTACAATCAATGCCTTTCGATAGTCGGAATGACGATCGTTATTGCGATCGTTCGAAATGCCACGAGACTCAATGCCACTACATCTAGCAAATAAAGCAGATCATTACATCGGAGGCCATTAAATTTTCCAAATGTTTGTGAGTTTCTAAAGAATCGATTAAGGGAATCGAGAAAACTCAAAGGAAGCAGAAGATAGAGTATAAAAATCCATTACATGTCATAAGGCACGCAATGAAAACGTTCAAAATTCGTGGCACATTTTTTTATATTCATAACTTTTTAATTTTTGTTGCCTTTACACTTCAAATGCTATTTAATCGTGTAAAGCGAGAAAGATTTTATCCGATAGATGGCGATATGTAAAAGATGTCAAGCACCCAGACTGGTAACTAGAAGTTTTTTTTATAGAATAGGGACGACAAACTAGTACACTGTCCACCTGATGGTAAACGAATACTGTGGCCCATAGATAGACCCTATATCTATCCTCTATTAAGAATCAATATGCAAATGCGATTTCAACCCTGAGGACTAAGATAGAATGCGCCACGTTTCCAGTAAAGGTAAAAGAAGTTGCCTCAAAGGGTGTGAGACATTAGCTGCCAGCCTGCCAAACTTGGCGATTATGGCAAATTCTTTTTACCATAGGAGAGGCCAATGTCTAACATTGGGCTCATGTACCTAACAAAACTGTTCATTGTGGGTTTATGTACTCTATGAATTATATTTACATTATGAATTATCAAGCAAATGAAAATTAAATAAAATATAAAATTGTGCAATATCCTTTAAGTAAAAACTTTATACATTATACTTCGTAAGTACAAGAAGTAAGTCACAAAGATCTTCATTATCGTTAAGTGCGCGTATCTATTATATAGGAAATTGAGAACTCATTTTATCTAATTTAAATTGTTTTGTAAAGGTATATAAACAATTATATTACAAAATTAATAGGTATTTCATCTATCATCAAATTCTATATATATCATCAAATTCTGTTAAAAAAGGTCAACAATATATTGGAAAATTAATATAGAGGACAATAAAGTGAGGAATTCAATCTTAATATCCACTTGTAAGTCCCATGATATATTGTTAAAACAGACATTAGTTTTAACATGGTATTTAAAAGAACACTCCAGCGTTACTTTCCGATTCTACTCTGAGAAGGTTTTGTCTTCAAAACAAGTGTAGATTTTGGCATTCATAAGAATTTTAACATGCCTGACTGATTTTATTCAATTTGGATATTAACTTCAGGTCATTCTGCTTTGAGAGACAAACGAGCTGAGAGATTGCTTTATAGTATGTGGTTACTGCTACCCATACACACCTAACCAATGTCAGCCATGAGGTCTAAGATGGATAGATTCTTAGCCTGTAATAATACCGACAATGTTATAAATTTTACGAAACAAGTAGAGGCTGTGCTGCTTCTTGGGGAACAAAATAGTTCAGAAGTTTATACCATCCCAGACAGGTTTCTATAATAAAAATACATAGATAGAAAAGGAGTACCTGGCGAGTTGAATAAAATAATTTAATAACAAGAACCGCTAAGAATGCTATACACTATGTTACTAATTTACCTTCACTAACAAATATGGTATGTGGTAGCGGAGTAACAGAATTGCCTCATTTTAACTACGTCATAACGATTAACATATATTTTTTATAGGATAGGGTAACAAACGAGCACACAGTCCACCTGATGGTAAGTGGTTGCTGTGGCCCATAGACTTCTACATCTATCCTCGTTTGCGAATCTCAAAATGCAGATGCGTTGTCACCCGCGAGGACTAAGATGGAATGCCTCTTTTCCTACATTTCACACGATAAACATTATAAAATCTATCAAAAATTTAAGAGAAGCATGTGCACTTTTAAATCAGATGATACTTATTATTGAATAATGTTCAAATTGGTAAAAGCCAAATATCCTAAATTGTAAAATATGTTTACAGTTTTTGGATAGTGTTTACTTCAGGTGAATAATCTTAAAAAAAATTATAGTATACCTTTCGTCCTTATACTCAAGGTTTTTCAAAACATTGTATTGCGATACGTAAGTGGCCATTAACGTCATGACAAGATGAACATTTTTCGGTATTGCATTAGTTACTGTTGTTGTGTAATCTGATAATATGTAAATAAATGAATAGTAATAGTATAAGTAGGCGCGGATGGCAATACGTATACGTAATAAATCAACAAGGATATTTGTTTCTTGAAAGATAATTTTTACCAAAATTTTATAAATTTAAAACAAGTCGATTGAATGTTAAATTGATTAGGTATCATTTTATTATATGGTTAAATAAGTTAGAGTATAATATCCTTTACCCCCACATCATATCGTGTGTGTCGTAAGAGGCACAAACACAGAGATGCAGCAAGAAAAAAACGCACGCACACGCGCACGCACATGTACACGCCACGCACACGCACACGAATAGATGTAGTACTTACATGTAGTATAATGATGTGTACTACTATACGTTATTATACACTTCATGTAAGTACAGATATTTTTTGCAGAACAATGACTTGCACAAGTCATTTCCGCCTGATTTGCATGCAGTTCACAGTTGTATAACGTTTATATTATGTCCTTGATCATTTGATGACTCCTATTCGTAATGCTGCAAGTCGACTCGCAGTTAGCTATTTAGTGAATAAATGTAAAATTTTGTTGGTCCGATGATTGTAATGCAATTATACAAATGATATGGACAATAAGATAATATTTACGAATTTGTTTCCATAAATAGTACTCAAGAATTCAAAAGTCGTATGTACGACTGATACGCGCTCAAGATTTAGAGTTCCGTATTTATTTACATAAAATTGCAATTTATTTTCAATGCTCTTATTCAATTTACAAAATGTTGCATTAATATTAAAATAATGTAACCGGTAAACCGAACCAGTAATCGAAATTCTATGATAAACTTGAAAAAACACACTGCATAATATATGTCAAGAATACAAGAGTTAATAAATAAATTTTAAAGCAACTTTCTACAATAATAAGCTGTGATTAATATTTATATTTATAATTTTCTATGCGATATTTTGGTTCAGTCGTAGATAAAATTTAGAAAATGAGAACTAAACAACGTGATCGAAATGAGGAAGGGTTCCATAGTTATTAAAAAAAATAATAAATCTGTAACTATGGCGTCAGAAGGTACCAAATTATCTAGATCTACCTGTAAATAATAATATCTTACATATCGGTATCATTAAGAACATTAAAGAATGAAAAGTCGACATTCCTACTGTTATTTAAGCACCCTTATGCTATGCAGTACCTTTTAGCTTTTTGAGAGGCCATACTAGAATTAAAATTTAAAAATAAATATCAAAAGTGCCTAAATACTTATATGAGACAAATACTATTTTGTTAACGTAAGGTGTGCGTCAGCCCGAGCGCGCATGACAACCTTACGGAATTAGACCCTTGTATGGGACCGCAGAGTGTAGTTATATTTTCATGCTTAAAGCGCGGAGTGAGACAGGCCTGGTATTAAAAAGATACAATCATATAGCCTCATACAGTTTCATTCGTGGTACTCGGGCGACCCTGAGGATAATTTAGGGCAGTGATTGTTTACGCGAAAGTCCGTCACGGTTATAAATATCTTAAGGTTGCACTGCCAGGAATATAAGGATATATATTCCAACTGTGACTAGCTTTGTACGGACTTGTCATTTGAATGATTTGATGTAGATTGTATTATTTTCAAAATCGAAAAGTTTTTAAATCTTTTTTGAATACCACTTCCTGCAAGTCTATAAAATAAGGCCTTCAGTTACCATCGTCCTGCTTAGGTCCATTTTTAATAATTATAGTGGTCAAAGCGGAATCACTTAATATGCTCATTATCAAGAAAACCCACGTATTGTGACGGTCAACTACGGAACCCTATCTCTACATTGTGCGTGGCCCGACATGCACTTGGCCAGTTTTTATTAAAGTATTTATCTTGCTTCCTCGGAGAACATTTTATACTTAGCTTGCATTAGTACGACCGCCGCTTCGTTGTCGAGTGGATGTAAACAATACGAGTGACGCGACGTGGCAGTGTAGACGTTCAGTTAAAATAATTGAATTACTATGTTGTACTTTTTAGTATTATTTGCAATTCTGATTTATTTTTACGGTGTGAGAACATTCAACTACTGGAAAAATCGGGGTGTTAAACATGATTCGCCTATACCTTTCTTTGGAAATAATTTGCGCCAGTTTTTTCAAAAAGCTAGTATGGCTATGGTAGCGACTGAAGTGTATAATAAGTACCCGGAAGAAAAAGTAGTTGGTTTCTATAGGGGTACTAATCCAGAACTTGTAATAAGAGATCCATCTATTGCAAAAAGAATTCTCGTTAATGATTTTCAGCACTTTTATGCGAGAGGTTTTAATCCGCATAAGAAAGTAATTGAACCTTTATTAAAGAATCTTTTCTTTGCTGATGGTGACATATGGCGTCTTATAAGACAACGTTTTTCTCCGGCATTCAGTACTGGTAAATTAAGAGCTATGTTTCCAATAATTACGGAGAGAGCAGAAAAGTTACAAATAATTACAAAAGAAGTTTCAAATCTTGATTCATATGATGTACGTGAACTTATGGCTAGATATACTACTGACCTTATCGGGACCTGCGGTTTCGGTTTAAATATGGATTCTCTGAACAACGAAAATTCACAGTTTAGAAAATTAGGAAAAAGAATTTTCCAAAGAACTCCAAGAGATGCATTCAATGCTGGACTTAAGATTATGTTTCCAGAACTTTTTAAAAACATACATTTTCTAGCACCTGAGATAGAAAAATCTATGACTTACCTAGTAACATCTGTAATGAAAGAAAGAAATTATAAACCTTCAGGTAAAAATGACTTTATAGATCTTATGTTAGAATTAAAACAAAAAGGAAAAATTATAGGTGAATCTATTGAAAGTAAAAACTCTGATGGAACACCAAAAACAGTGGAGATGGAATTGACGGAAATGATAATGATAGCTCAGGTCTTTGTATTCTTTGGAGCTGGTTTTGAAACATCATCGACGGCATCTAGTTACACATTACACCAATTAGCTTTTAATCCAGATTATCAAAAAAAGGTTCAAGAAGAGTTAGATCGGGTTTTAAGCAATCATAATAATAAAATTACTTACGAAGGGGTTAATGAAATGTATTGCTTAGAAAAAGCGTTTTATGAAGCTATGAGAATGTATCCATCAGTTGCGTATATTGTGAGAAAGTGTTCTTCACCTGAATACACATTTCCTGAGATTGGACTAACAATTAACGAAGGTGTTAAAGTTATGATTCCAATTCAAGCTATACAGAAAGATGATAAGTATTTTAAAAATCCAGAAAAATTCGATCCAGAAAGGTTTAATTTGGGCGTAAAAGAATATAAGGATGTATTTTTTCCTTTCGGTGAAGGTCCAAGGGCATGCGTCGGTGAGTTAAAGTTTAATTTTATATATTATCTCCTTCTTCTTTTTCACTGGTACATAGAAGACTACTGCAAGGCTTGGGCCTCTCGTTGTAAGAAGGATTTATTATATTTGCTATAGTAGACTAACTAGATACGTACTGTAAGAGTATTTAAGACAACTGAATCAAAATCAAAGTTAAGAACTAAAGACGGGGAGGAATAATTCCAGAGCAAGGGTAGGCGATGAGCCGTTAACTCTTAAGGGAGCAACTAGGGCTTCATTAAAAAAAAAAACATTGTCTTAGCTCTAGAATTTTCACCAGTATCGTGGAGGCAGTTTTTATACACAAATGACTCCAACACTATACTGTTACACTAAGATGTATTATTTTGTCTCAAAAAATGTTTGTAATTACAGGTGCAAGACTGGGCCAAATGCAATCGATGGCCGGTCTGGCAGCAATTCTACAAAAATTCTCCGTAGAACCAGCAAAGTGTAGCGTAAAAAATCCCAAACCAGATCCCACGTCTATTGTTTCGGAGGGATTTGTTGGTGGATTGCCTCTTAAAATAAAGAAACGGAAAATGGAGTAATCTAAGGAACAAAACATTAAGTAAAAAGGTTACTTACCATAGATACGTCTAGAATATTCACTCCTGGGTCGCCCTTTTCTCCCTTAGGGCCAACTGGTCCTGGAGCACCTGGAGGGCCTAAAGTACCTGGGCGTCCCTAAAATGTAATAGTTTCTAAAGCAATGCCATTTAAAAAATCAAAAAAAAATCTATTACTTATTTTATCATTTTTTTGATTACCTTCAGGTTCTGTATTGTATGCATGAAATAAAATAAGTTTAATAAACAGAGACAAAGAAAAATAAGATTTATAAATTATTACAGTGGTAACTCGACATTTTATCATTTTTTAAGTTTTACTATAAACATTGTAAAAAACCTTATAAGATTACTGGTTTGTCATGTTCAGTATGTTGTTTTTATAGTATATGTTTTTGGATAATACTATTATTTATTGTGTACACAACCCATAATTTTTCTTAGCTTTTTTTCCTTCTTTAAAGTAATTGCTGTATGGCAATAAGACTATCCCTTGTTATCTTTCTATATTTTTTTATTTTATTATGGCTTTTTTGTGCGTAGTAAAACATGGTAGTGTTGTATTATTTCGTAAAATAGTAATAAATATAAAGAATCATCTTCATAAATCAGAAAAAATATTAGTGTAACAATAGTAGTGCAGATAATATTTTAAGTCATATCGGTATAATTTTCTTCTTACTAACCATCCACCCTGGTAGACCAATGTCACCTTTATCGCCAGGACGCCCTGGTGGGCCAGGTATACCTTGAGGACCTTCAAGTCCTCTTGGTCCGGGAGCTCCGGGCCTTCCTCGTCTTCCTCGAAAACCTGGTTCCCCTTTGTCACCCTATTTAATAAGGAAATATTTAGGAAACAAAATTTTATACAATATAAATACAACATATTGTCACCGATAAATACTGTAAAAGTATTTAATTGATTAATGTACACTGATATTTAAAAGATGAATTTTTTTTTGAAGAAAATGATACAACTTTAACGGCGCAAAGTACATTTATGCATAACCATTCTATTACTATTTTCAAATAACTTTTGATACAAACATAACATAACAAATTTATGGATGTCCGATTTTTTTATAGGAATAGTTTGACAAACGAGCACACAATCCACCTGATGGGTTGCTGTGGCCCATAGACATAAGATGGAATGCCTCGTTTCCAGTAAAAAGGCTCTACGGTTCTCTACACTCACCAAACAAAACATAGCAGCGTTGAGCTGCTATTTTATGCTGGTATTCTGTAAGAGCCCTTCTGTGGTGCTTCCCCGGTCGAGCCGACCCATTCGTGTTACAACTGTACAATTTTTATTTTTAAATACGTATGTGTTTATATTTACCTACTCACGTCTAGTTTCAGCTTAAAGGCATAGCAAAATTTACACATATAAAATTCAGTCTAATATTAATTCTTAATTGCCGTTATGACGGATGTGAACATTGTTATATTGGATTGTTATTTATTTGAACTCATTGTATTTGCTTTAAGGAATAAAATGCATGGTATAAGACTCATGCGGAGGCTGTTTTTTTCTTAATCCCATAATGGTTGATTCAATATTTCTCAGTTATCATCCAAAATACTAGCATTCAACGTTTTATTTTTATCTTCCTTCAAAATTTTACTGCAGACAGCATTTTTGCATTTTTTGGAAGTTTAGAAATGAAGACTTTAGAAATGAGTTGGAGGGTGACTCAAACTTTAGGCCTAGTCGGTTTCAATAGCCTATCATGTAGAGGATGTCAAGGGGTCATGGTTGAATAGGGGCAAATAGTTCTAATTATACTCCTAGGGGGTCAAATGTACGAAAAATCAAAAAATTAAAAATTCTTATTTCGGCTATAACTCCGCCTCCTTCGGATGTTTTTACACAGTCTTTACTTCCCGCATGCCACTAGAAAAATTTATAAATACATTAGTCCCAAAACAGCTATAACGTATGATTATATAATATTCTATTCCAATGTCATAAACATTTTACAGATTAATAAATACAACAAAAAACCTGTTGTATAATACGCAAATATCCCGTAACGAACTTACATTCGAAATTATATTTAGAAGTTTCTGTGCTTACTTTCTTTGAATCGACATTTAAAATTTCTTGTTAATATGCTGATTTAGTTCAAAGTAGAATGGAATAAAATATTTTTTATTCAATATAGATTATTACATAACTTATTGAAAGTAATTTCTTTATTCACCACTAGTTCCTAAAGTCCTGAGAAGAACCAGCAAGAAACCCAGCGAGATTTTATTAAAAGTGACCATGGAAGTGACTGAAATACATTTTTTTGTATGTGATTTGGTTTTATTCTGACATACATAACATAGTATGTTTTTTGTCAATTCCAGCATGCAATTAAAGCAGATTTTCATTCTTGGGGGTAATTTTCTTAAACTCTTAACCTATAAACATAGTTATAAAAAAACCTTAATTGTAAGAATATCAGAACCCGGAGCGGTGATGCTTATAGGTCCGGGTGGTCCCCTTTCTCCCCTTTCTCCTTTAGGTCCTGGCGGACCCGGTGGGCCAGCTACACCCGGCATTCCTGATGGTCCAATATCGCCTCTGTCACCTGGTTTTCCATCTTCTCCAGGGAAACCCGGCATACCATCATTACCTTGGTCACCTTTTTCACCCTGTCATAATTTATATAACATATAATTAATATATGAATTCATTATAATATTTCAAATATCGAGGGTTGAGTTCTAAAATACTATAAGTATCAAAACTTAAAATTCTGCTTTTTAACTTGTCTTCATTAACTTCTTTGGTCATTCCAAAAGTTTAATCAAATAAATAAAATTTAAATTTGAACACTATGTTACAAAATCTACGCTTTTGTTATAGTATTAAAGAACCCTATCAAGTATTTAAATATTTCTCGTATATATCTTTTGTGAGATATTATGGCTATTTATTAGCATTGAGCGAATAAAAATTTCCAGATTAGTTACTTGAAGACAATAGGTAATATCATTATAAATATATTTAATTGAATCAAGTATCAACTTTTGTACGTATTGTGATAATTATATGTAAAAACTAGATTCAACTAAAACATTATTTACATTTTCGTATATAAATTTTCATAATTTAATTCCATTGACATGTAAACCCAATTATTAAGTTTATCACATTTTACTTTATGATTGGTAAGAGAGTGAGAAAAAGTCCACACAAGAGACTTTTTGTCTTTTATTGCATGCCTTAAGCGCAAAGCACGTAGGTATGTTCTACTAGCGCCTAAAAATTCAGATTCTAACGTTTTGTCGCATGAAATCGTATCTTACAATCATATTGAACATATAAATGATATAAAAAGCACATTATCAGAGCGATAAATTATTGTTGAACTTATTAATTTTGTTTAAATTGATTAATTGCTATTTTTACATCAAAAAGTGGTTTTAGTGGCTTATGGTGTAGCCTTATCAAGTCCGCATGGAGTACCCCTCCACCGGATCGGCTACCATCGTGAGTGGATTACTGTATCTTTTGTGATTGCTCACAGCAGCGGTAATAGGCAGCAAAAATATCGATCGCTGTAGAAGTACAAATTATTCCGAAAACCAAATTTGGTACATACTTAACCAAGGTTATTATTTTTATAATCACAGATTTTTATTACAATATTTTGTTTCGCTATAAGTACGTAGGATTTATATATAAATATACTTATACGTCTTGGACTTTATGGAGTAACCTGAAGGAGTAATTCGGTATCCGCTACTTGAACTCCTCCACGAGTAGAAATAGGTGTGCCGAGTTTGGCCTCTTTTTGTTAGTTATGAATAGACCTTACCCCTTGGCTTGATGGAGTGACTTGAAAGTGTACTTCGGTGACTGCTACTGGAATTCTTTGACGAATAGAATTACAATTTACAATATTTTTTTTATTTTTTCATGATCTTATAAGTCGTGCAATTTTGGATTTTCCAACCTTTTTTAATTAAAATTTGACATAAAATTATCGGAAAATTGGAAGTTTAGTAATAATTATAAGGTTTTTAGTGAAAACTTGTGTGTAATTAAACTACCTTAAGAATTTACGTATAATCATGCTATACGTAATTTTATTAATGCGCTTAAGGCATGCACAATTAGATTTACCAATATTTTGTCTCATTTATTAAATGTTTAGTAAAACAACAGATTTCTATTAAAATGAACGGCGTCGACATATATCTAAACCATTTTAGTTACCATCAAGAGTCTTATTTAGTGTGTCACTTCAATCTTATAAAAAGTTAAATTAAACTAATGTACGAATCAGCACTTCATTATATATTATATAACACAATTATAGAAATGTCATGCAAGTAACGAAGTTATAAAGCAATAAAATATATATAGAAATACAATTTCCTAGTCGAAAATGTATAACTTACAATCTAAATAATTAAAAGGGCTTAATTTGAATCCCAAAAAGAACCAAGCCATTATTGTTGGAAACAGCACTCTAATCCCGAGAATTTGTTGGTATAACCTACCACCTATTGTTGTTGATGGTGTTGTGATACCTTTCAGTAAATCTGTAAAAGACCTAGGATTATATATTGATCGGAATCTTTCTTGGTCCCTACATATTAAGAAGTCCAGCAGAAAGATGTTTGCGGCAGCATCTTATTCACGATGTTTGCGTAACTCGCTTCCCATTCCTACTAGAATTTTACTGGCACAGTCCTTGTTACTCCCTATCCTTGATTATGCTGATGCATGCTACTCCAATCTTACTGAGGATCGATTAAATAAACTTGAACGTCTTCAGAATTTCACTATTAGGTTCATATTTGGCCTTCGCAGATATGATCATGGTTCTGAGTACCGTATTAAGCTCAAGTGGCTCCCTATCAGACTTCGTCGGAATACTCATATTCCATCTCTACTGTATTGTGTACTATTCGATCCTAAAACACCGAGTAATTTAAAAAAAAATTGAGTTCATGGGCGCAGATAAAGATCATTCCAGATTAGCTAATAAACTTATATTGCGAATACCTGCTCACAACTGAAATTTCTTTCATTCCTCCTTTTGTGTCAAAGCAATCAAATTATGGAACTCGCTTCCTTTAACAATTAAGAAAGCCGAAACCATTGAGCCTTGCAACAATATGGTTAAAGATTATTATTTATATATGTGTTCTACCGAATATATTTTACTGTCATATCTAATTTTCTTGATAAGGTTTTTATATATGATATATTATAGTTACAATGTATTACAAAATATTTATAAATATGTATGTATTCTATGTATGTGTGTATGTATATATGTATTTGTTTGTTTATGTGTATATGTATATATAATATTATGTATTTCATTATTGCATTGTCTTATATACTATAATATATACCTTGTACTATTAATATATATTAGTTTATCTACTATTTATGCACACTTCTATATATTTAAGTGAAAATGATCTCCTTCACCAAGGTTTGCCTGGAAGAGATCGCTGTTTAGCGATAAGGCCTATTTATAGATACATTTATAAATTTAAGTTTGCTGTGTTGTGTAGTATTTTGTGTGCAGTAAAGAGTATAAATAAAAATAAATAAATAAATATTTGATCATACATCATACAAGCTTATAAATACAATGAAACTTTGAACATTGAATTTGTCGGAAGTCCCTTTTTGTTACTTATCGGATTTTATCACTCAACCCTCGTATAAATGTTCAATCAGTTTTAAACCTCGCAATAATTATCTAATACGTAAATAGTATATAGAAATCAAAGTCATTCAAAAATATGTTGTCGAAATTCATATTTCTTATAAATATTTCTTTATAGATTTAAATTTGTTTTATAATAATAAAATTTATGAAATTTATTGAAAACAAGTCAGTACCTTTTCGCCCTTTTCTCCTTTTTCTTGCAGTATCTGTCTTTGTCCTAAATAAAAAAAATGTTAACTTTTAAATAATTAAATGTGAGTAATTTAAAATGTTTATTAATATTTCAAATGTTCACTTACTAGACGAAAAAAATTCGGGGTTATCCGAACTTAAATCGGTAGAAAGCGCTGCAGGAGGCCCCGGTGGACCAGGCAACCCTTGTTCACCTGTTTAGTAATATTTTTTTATATAGAGAACCATCTTTCCAACATTTAAAAAAATCTAATGTGGACTTATGCAGTAGTGGCTCAGAAATTACAAGAATAATTCTAAACGCCAAACCAGAGAAGAATTATTTTTAGCTATCTCATATATAATATTAACTGAACTCATAGATAAAGGCGCTACAAATAAAGTCCTGATTTGAAAAATACCTACGTACAACAGACTTACACACTAATGACCTTGATGATAAATAATATAAATATAATTATTATAAAATTATAAATTAACTTTGACTGTATCCGTACTCATAGGAAGTCGAAAGGTATTATATCGACGGAATCGACGAAGTCGGTCACAAGTCGTGTTTGAATGTAAGGGACAGCTCTATGACCGAAAAAAAAAACAAGCAGTTAGCACCCAATCACTGGGTACCTATAAACGTCAAACCGAGCATCTGCGACAAATTTCACTATTTGTGAAAATATAAAAAAAAACAAAGTTCCACTAAGACACATTGATTAAGACTTACATCGACTAGGTTTGTCGATGAAGATATTTCAAATAGCGACCTGTTATATACAACACGTGCAGAAGCGCAAGTGCATCACGCCATTCCCTATCACCTCACATTCTGACGGCGTTTAACTCACCAATACCCCGTAGGTGATATCGCAATTAGTTATGTACCATCATCATCACCTTTATCTTTTTTATTACCCTGAGTCAGATGAAACTGTAAAAGCCTAAAGGCTAACGACACGTACGTCTCGTAACAAAGAAGAAGAAAAGAGTAATGCACTGAAGTCATTCAACTGGTTATTTTGCATTTATTAATAACTGCATACCGTCTTTCCAGTTTTATAAGGTAAAATTGTTACAGGGAAATATTTCTTTCATTAAAATTATTTTGAGTGTAATTTCTGACTAGTATATCTAAAATGCCTAACTAATGAACTATCACTATTATTTTATACCGTTGACTGAGTGCAATAAAAACGTGTGTTAAAATATATCACTTTGTATTTTTATCGGTCTTAAATATAAGAGGGGGGCGACTGTATGTTGTTTGTATATAAGTTACACGATATCCTTATCCATTGCAAGTCGTTTTAAATCTTCCTTCTTTTATTAAAAAGGTTAAATTTCAAGACATATCCCATATAAATTTTGAATAAAAATTTCACCCCAAAAGTGGAAAAATAGAGATTGAAGTTTTTATATAACTATTGCGACGACATTCTAGTTGTTACCTTGAGGTTGTGATATTCCTTTACTTTTGGAGAGTTTGGAGTTCACTCAAAAGAGTTAAAATTTTCATGAAAAGTAAAAGCCGACTTCAAATAACTAAAATAATAATAATAATTTGCACGTAATAGCTTCGAATTCCAAGATTTAATTCTTCTTCTATACATTGTGTCTTAGCAATGAATGTAAAAGTAAATAATAAATTTGATGAATAACTTGCATATACGACGTCTACCTTTTTCTCCTTTTTCAGCAGATCGTCCGTTTGCCCCTGGCAAACCCGGTCGGCCATCTAGACCTGGGCTTCCACGATCTCCTTTCGGGCCTCGTTCTCCTTGAGGACCTGGATGCCCCTAAATAAATAAAACCAATGTCACGCTCAGACTATATTATCGTTAAAAATGGTTTTATTTTCAAGGGACACAGATTATTAAATATATGGTTTAGAAATAGGCATATTATGCATAAAATATTTCAGTGACGGTGTAAGTTTTAAGAGGCAACACAGGGAAACTGAAACGAGATATGCAGAAGCATCTTCGTAATAACATCTCTAAAATAACAAAAAACCGGCCAAGTGCGAGTCGGACTCGCGCACCAAGTGTTCTGAACAAAGCCGTAGGTATATAAGTTTAAAATCATTAAAAATATTTTTAACTAAAAATTTATGCTTTTCGCAATTTTTCCTTTATCTGTACTATAATACGTTGCTTCGTACCAAATTTTAAGATTCTGAGTTCACGGGAAGTACCCTGTAGGTTTTGATTCCCTTGCGAATGTCGAAAATTTGCGGCATAAACGGCTGTATCTTTTGATTGCGTTGGCTTAGAAGTTTGATTTTTTCACAGCTCCAAGGGACAGTAGACTTGAGTATTTGATATGAATTTCATTTGATACCTCCACGCGTTCCTGAGAAAAACGGTCTTGACAGACAGACAGATAGACAGACGGACAACAAAGTGATCCTATAAGGGTGCAGTTTTTTCCTTTTGAGGTATGGAACCCTAAAAATCGCAGTTGCTAACCTTTCTATGAATCAAGGCATATGTGGGTGATTTTCTCCTTATGATATAATCTATGGGAGAGTTTTATATCAGAGAGCAACAGCAATAGACTTATGATGGGCTGTTATGAATAATGAAGGAACAAACAATAATATTTGTGATTCGGAAGTATTTGAGGCATGCAAGTTTGAAAACGGTGGGTTTGATTTTACTTTAGACATTAGCATTGTTATGCGGTGACTGCTCAAAAAGATTTATTTGTGTAACAGAACGCACAAATGCGAGCCTATCTGGTACTTCTGCAATAGTTATTACCTATCCACTTGTAAATCAGAATAATAGCAACTGTGGAAGAGCTCTATGTAAACCAGGTTAACTGTTTGCAAGCCCTTATAATTATCTAATAATACTTTAAACTTTAATAGTTCTTCTTTTGATCACAATATAAACAAAATTATATCGGCTAAAAAGTATGTTCTTCAAGGATTTAAAAATCTTTTTGTTTTTATTAAGTAAAACAATTGGTTTAAAAGTTTGATACTATAATTATTTAAAACATTGTTTATAAACACATTGAAGTGATTATTGAAATTGAACTTTGCTATTATGATATCTAATCTGTGGAAAGAGATAGTAATAAAATTAAATATACAGCTGTTTCTCTTAAGTAATCTTTTGGTTTGTCATTAAATAAGACAGAAAATTTTGTGGGACTTGAACTAATTGAAAATAAGTCCGTAAAAAAACTGGTGATTGGATAAAAATGAGTGACAAAAAAACAACAGGATTTTACAAATTACGGAATTGGAACTGTATCGCCCAAAATTAAATAACATCCTTTACAGGAGCGACCAATGTTGGAAAAAATGTCTAAAACAGCTCTGCTAGCTCTTAGCTTAGCTCTGCTTCCTGAAATATGTTACCGTTACAGCCTATAAAAAGTCCACTGCTGAACATAGACATCCCCCGCAGATTGCTTCGTTGTGGGAGATATACCGTAATTCCACACTGGAGAGACGTCATATTTTTGGGTTATCAGAAAGACACTGCTGTCATTGTCCTGATTTGTTTTTCTCTGTCGCCTCTTGCAACATACAGGGGATTATATGGGATAGTGGATATTCTTTCACAGGCACTACACGTTCCAGGAGGTTAATAAGATGAAAAGAATAGAACCTGTAACACCTAATCTCATAAAATGAAATTTTTACATTTATATTCAACACAAATATTCTAGTATTCGAACTTTACCATTGAATTTAAACATTTAAACGAATCTATAAAATTAAAGTGATGCTATATTTATTTATGCTAAGCGTTATTATTAATAACAAAAAAACTAAATTGTGTAACATTGCAATTGCACAGCAACAATAACAGAAACATGACAGATGTTACAGGAACTGGCACAGTTTAAAGAAGAAGAGGAACGTTACTATAGAAACTTGATCCAAGATAACACCTTGTTATTTTAGAATAGGCTACTGAAACTGTTTTAAAGGAACAGAAATAGTAGGAAAAACGTGTTTTAACTTTATCCTATCTTTTACCTACACACACTCACACGCATAACACAGAAATGTAGCATTTTAAACGTATCTTTGGATCTATTTGTACAATAGAAATTTTCAACAATACTTTAATTACCATCTATGGAAATTCTTACTTTATATGTTAGTACTACACTAATGAGGGCATCCGCGAATTTTTCTGCCACCAGGGCGGCGCCACTTAAAAGTGAGGTATAATATTTGACAGATTTCATAGCGAGGAAGTTAATTTGTTTGGAAAATGTAAAGGTTAATGTTTCTTTCTGTACTATTAGTTATATTTTATATTAATATAATTAAAAATAAATAAACCGAACAACAGATATTCACAAAAGTAGAAAAATTAAAAAAAAAACGTTAAAAATGTGCAAAAAATTACAGAGGAAACCACTGAGACATTGTTTTGTGTATTAATATAATACTCTAGATACTGATAAACTTTTATTAAAAACTAACTTCTCAATTAAATGACATTGCGTAACAAAAAACTTTACCTCAGTGTCAACTAGCGACATCTGGTGAGCAGAAAATTATTAGCCCTCATTCAATCATCAGCACAATCCTATGGAATTAAAATAAATCTTTTGCTTATCTACAAAATAATGTTATTTTATAAAATTCTATTCTTAGTTGTGGAATATTAAAAAGAAGCCTAACATTTTTTATTAATAAATTATATCAAGAAAAGTGGTTAATCTTTACAGCCAGTTTACACGTTAAATAATTAACAATAGCATTACTTACTCGTTCGCCTTTGGCTCCATTTTGACCCGGTTGTCCTCTTTCACCTTTCTGTCCCGTAAATCCTCTTTCTCCTTGCAGTCCCATTGGACCCGGTTGTCCCGCATCTCCTTTGGGACCTGGTGCTCCTGGTCGGCCGATAACTCCACCGTACGATCCCAGTAGTGATTCCTGTATACAACATATATATAATTTGCATACTGGCCGAAATATGTAATCACGTAAATACATACTCGTTTTATTAGAGACGTAGTAAGGCTTTCAGTTCAAGTTCTGTTGTGAAAGATATCCTAGATTAATATCTAGTCGTTTCATTTTTATTTTATTGCACCGTTAGTATTTTTAAAGCGTTCTTTTTAACTAAGGAATATTTAAGGATAATCTGTGTGCTATGCATTTCATGAAAAATTTAGAGAAGAAAAAGGGAAGTATAAGGCTAATTTTTTAAACATAGAGTGGTTATCATCGCACTAATGATAATGCTTGCTATCATAGTGTGTAGAATTGAGGTTAGGAATCTTTGCATTTAATAACCGCCATTGACAGACAGCAGGGATGTACATCCAGAAAAGATTAACATTTGTATAGAAAATTATTATATTCCGACTTCACACCACTTTTATTCACAACATTTATATTATCACGCTTTCTTATCTGTCTGTCTGTTCGGGAAATCTGTGGCTCATAGATTTATACATCTGTCTTTCATTAAGAACCAAAATTATGCCTTGTTGCCCCTAAGGACTAAGGTAGAATGCCTCATTTTTAGTAGAAAGGTTCTCCGATTTACCACACTTAATATAAGAAACACAGTAGTCGTAAGCTGCTATATTACGCTGGTATTTTTTGAGAGCATGGTCATTCCTCGATTGAATCGACCCATTCGTGATACAACCATAATGTAGCTGCAGCATGGCTCTACTACGTAATAATGTGTATATTTCGATGTATATGTCTAGGACTGCAGTGTTTAATAACCTTCAGGGAGACTGCGTAGTCGTGTTAACCTAAATAAATTCTAGTGTAGAGTAACTTTTAAAAGAATATTTGAGCAAACAGTATCTCCCTGCTAAGTTTTAATATAAAATTGACGCTTTAATATAAAAACTATACCTAACTCTGTACTACTTATTAATACGCTTTGATTACTTCGCGTGTATCTATATATATATATATATATATATATATATATATATATATATATCAGTGTGTTTTTTAAGTTTTCTTAATTGTTTATATTATTTATTATTTAAAGTATTAGGAAGTCTAATAGAAACATGTTATTGGCTATATAGTATGTAGTAACTTATTACACATGTAACTTTAAGCGTGTGTATTCTTATATTTACCTAAACTGTTAATATCCTTACGATATATAACAATGATATAAAAAAAATATTTCTTTATGCTTTAGTCATATTCTGCTGATTTTGAAGTTGTACTTGGTATCAAGTGTAACTTTTTATTCGCCTGCTATCGAAACTTATCTGATGACCTCCATACGGATATAAAAAAGAGATCGATGACATACTAATTCAAATGAGGTTTAATTTTGTACAAGTACGGTAGATAATTCAATAACATATCCCTCTTAGACGATTTCTAGTTTAAGCTAAAAGAGTGTTTGAGCCAATAATTTTTAATTAATATATAATTTTTAATTAATTAAATATATATATATATATATATTTAAACTTTTACTGCTACTACAAAAATTGACATACATTTTATACCAATGCATGTACAAACATTTGTAAGAAAAGGGCAATTCTATTTCTCTCCATTTTAAAATAAAAACATTAATCTTACACTAGAGATTACTCCTTTGCGTACATAAATTGCACATGGACGCCGTTTATATTAAACTCTACTCGGAACAATTATTTTTAGGCGCAAATACTTGTTCCGTGTTGGACTCGAACATACTGCCCGCAGTATGTTCGAGTCCGATATACGATACTGAGCCGTCAAAATAATTTTGAATTTCTCTGATAGAATTAAAAAGACCGATATTTATATTAAAATCGTATTCTCTCAAGTCTTTGCCAGAGATCTGTCTGCCAGAAAGAGCCACCTGTCAAGGCTGAAGACAGAATGTGGCAGCATCGTTTCCGGGACACCTGAGATTTTGAGTGAGATTGAGAGGTTCTATGGGCAGCTGTACACGTCATCGTTGGAGCCACACGCAAGTGTGAGTAACGATCCAAGAGCGAGTCTCATCCGACACTATTCCGAAGATATCCCGGACGTCAGTCTGAGCGAGATTAGAATGGCTCTCCAGCACCTTAAAAACGGTAAGGCCCCAGGCGAGGATGGAATTACAGCGGAGCTTCTGAAAGCGGGTGGAAGACCGATACTTGAAGTCCTTCAGAAGCTCTTTAATTCCGTCCTCCATGGTGGCATCACACCGGAGGCGTGGAGCAGAAGTGCGGTGGTCTTGTTCTTCAAGAAAGGTGACAACGCTCTCTTGAAGAACTACAGACCGATTTCCCTTCTGAGCCGCGTCTACGTGCTGTTTTCGAGAGTCATTACGAATCGTCTCGCGCGCAGACTTGACGACTTCCAGCCTCCCGAACAAGCCGGTTTCCGAAAGGGCTTTAGCACCATAGACCACATACATACCCTTCGGCAAATCGTACAGAAGTCCGAGGAGTACAATTTGCCACTATGCCTGGCGTATGTGGACTATGAGAAAGCCTTTGATTCCGTCGAAATTTGGGCGGTGCTGCAGTCCCTTCAGCGGTGCCAAGTTGACTGTCGGTATATCGAAGTGTTGAAGTGCTTGTACAGTAGGGCTACGATGGCTATCCGAGTACAGAACCAGAGTACGAAACCTATCCAATTGCAGAGAGGTGTAAGACAGGGTGACGTCATATCCCCAAAACTCTTCACCGCTGCATTGGAAGACGTTTTCAAGCTTCTGGACTGGAAAGGATACGGTATCAACATCTATGGCGAGTACATCACTCACCTTCGATTTGCCGACGATATAGTCCTTATGGCAGAATCGCTGGAGGACCTAAGCACTATGCTCAATGACCTCAATAGTGTTTCCCAACGGATAGGTCTTAAGATGAACATGGACAAAACAAAGATCATGTTCAATGTCCATGTCACACCTATGCCGGTAGTTGTTGGGAGCACTAAGCTTGAAGTTGTTGACGAGTATGTTTACCTGGGACAAATAGTCCGACTAGGTAAGTCCAACTTCGACCGAGAGGTCAATCGACGGATTCAACTCGGCTGGGCAGCGTTCGGGAAGCTACGACACATCTTCTCGTCAGATATACCTCAAAACCTGAAAACGAAATTGTACAACCAGTGCGTGTTGCCAGTGATGACTTATGGAACTGAGACGTGGTCCTTCACTGCTGGCCGTATGAGGAAGCTCAAGGTCGCTCAGCGAGCTATGGAGAGGGCTATGCTCGGAGTTTCTCTGCGTGATAAACTTAGGAATGAGGATATCCGCAGTAGAACCAGAGTAACCGACATAGCCCAACGGATTAGTAAGCTGAAGTGGCAGTGGGCCGGCCATATAGCTCGAAGAACCGACAACCGATGGGGAAGAAAGGTTCTCGAGTGGCAGCCTCGTACCGGTAGGCGAAGTGTAGGGCGTCCCCCCACGAGATGGAGTGACGACCTGGTAAGACATGCAGGAAGTCGATGGATGCAGGTGGCTCAGGACCGTGCTTTGTGGCATTCTTTGGGGGAGGCCTATGTTCAGCAGTGGACTTGTGAAGGGCTGTAACGATGATGATGATGATGATGATGATGATTCTCTCAAAGCTTTTCGTATTTATTTCTAACTTGTGAAAAAGCGAAGATTGCCTCTTTTATTTGGCTTATTTACGAGTAAATCAATAATGTATATGCATATGTCAGAATAAAATTACAAACTTTGTATTGTATTTTTATCGATTTTATTCACTTACTATAAATGACAATTTATTTTATATAAGTGAAAATCACATTTATAACTTTTCATTTAACTAGCGAGCCGCATCGGCTTTTCCTGGTAGGATATATTAATGTGAAGTTGTTTAGAAAGGTCATTAATTTTTTTTTAAAATCGTTTCAAAAAAATTCCAAGCTTTTCGGATAAAATTTAGCCTAGATTGTATATATGCAATACTAGTTCAGTGATCCCGAAGATTAGCCAAGCCAGCCAGACAGACAGATTCATGTCTTAATGGCATGCAAATAATGTTATTTCAATATTACAGACAGACACATAAATATTAAATTATTTGAATGACAGGCGATATCAATCCACCTGATGGTAAGTCCACCCATGGGAAAAGGGAAACGACTCCTAATAAAAGGCCACACATGTATTCTTGTCACTCTTTATGCCTACATTTATACTGTTTTACTCTTCAAACCAGAACACGGCTGTAGATGCCCTGCTGCTTTGTGGCAAAAATAGGAAGTGGGCAACGCAGACCAGACTACTAGGCAGTAATACGACCAAGAAAAAAATAGTATGTGGTCACTAAATTATTATATTATTTTGTTATTGTGTAAATTTAAATAAAGCCGTAAGCAGTGACTTACCTTATAAATTTGTCTTGGCTTCCAATTAGACTATATGAACAGAAATTGAAAGCATGAGAATGATACTTATCAATGATAAATATTTTTTATAGATTGCAATAAATACAAAGAAAATATCAACTTTATTACCCATCTTACTACTTAAAGTGGTTTATCGATAGTTTCAGGCTCAAACTATAAAAACCCTTTTAAGAAAATTTTAAAACTTTGTTTAAAACTATCAATTAATATATATAATTAAGTCCGAGTATATTATTTGTTCAATTCTGGTAAAGTTAGAAAGCTAAAATATAAACAAGTAATAATTAAGATTCCTGAAACAGTAATTTTATAATGCAGAAAATATAATGTTGTAAATCTTATAATCTTTTAAAATTTAGCTGCCTAAGACGCAAGCAGATAGTATGTTATTGTTATGGGTAATTTTGTTGAAAGTGATAAGTTAATAATAAATCTTGTGCACAATACTCTCCTTACTGAGAAAAACATGGAGTTTTTAAAATTAGATTTATAATATCAAAATTAAAACATTACAAATCTCTTTTCTTTTCGGCTTGATTAAAAATGTTTAAGTTAATGAGTTGATATAATGGAAGTAAGATATATGCAACTAAACTAGACAACTCGTATAATAATATTACTGAGAGTCGAAGTGACGTCATCGGTACGTTTGTTGTTAAGTTGAGAACTTGCTCCGTTTTATATAATTATAAATTGATTGTAAATCACTAACAGCTTACTTCAAAATTACTGTAGTCTGATGGACCTGGTGGGCCGGGTGGTCCTGGTGGACCAGGGCTGCCTGTTCTTCCGTCTACTCCCGGTTCGCCCTTAGGACCGGGCTGTCCTTCTGGTCCACGCGGTCCCATATCTCCTCTTTCACCCTTTTCGCCTCGAGGTCCTGACGGTCCTCGTTCGCCCGGCATTCCTGGTTGACCCTACAAAAATACATTTGATAATCGCAGCGATATCAATACGATTCTTTGATGTTGCGGAATGTAACGAAATAACTGCTGGATTTAATAGCAAAAAAGTATTTAATGCTTCAAATACTTCATAAACGATACGCTGGTAAAGCAGCCAATAAAATACCATTGATTATTTATTCATTCATTCATTATTTCATTCATTACAGCCTAAAAAAACATCACTGCTGAACATAGACTCCTCCCACAGATTGTCTGGTCGAGGAGATAATTGTCTTAGTTGCTACGCTTGGCAGGCGGTTTGGTGATGGCAATTATGTTTCAGTTTCCCCTCTGTCGTCTCTTACGTTACACACGACATGACATTGGGTATGAGATACTTACTTATTACGATTGGGATTTGGGTACACAATATACCGAATACGCATTCGGATGGATTTTCCGTCATCACTATATCATTTAGTAATGAAATAAGAACATCAGCAGTGACCTATTATTTTAAACTTAAACGCATAAGGAAAATAAAGAAAGTATGAACAATAGTCCCTATTAACTCTACGTTTATTACTGAACAAATTGAAAACTTAAACAAAAACTCGCATCTTATACAATAATCAAAAAGATTTGAAAGAGCAATATTTTATAAATGGCAAGTAAAAGTAAGTTAATGCTTATTTTGTATTATGTATCTTAATATTATATTGTCTTTTAAAATATATTTATGTCTCTTTATTAGTCATCATCATCATCATCATTATAGCCCTTCACAAGTCCACTGCTGAAAATAGGCCTTCCCCAAGGAATGCCACAAAGCACGGTCCTGAGCTACCTGCATCCATCGACTTCCTGCATATCTTACCAGGTCGTCACTCCATCTAGTGGGGGGATGCCCAACACTTCGCCTGCCGGTACGAGGCTACCACTCGAGAACCTTTCTTCCCCATCGGTTGTCGGTTCTTCGAGCTATATGGCCGGCCCATTGCCACTTCAGCTTACTAATCCGTTGGACTATGTTGGTCATTCTGATTCTACTGCGGATATCCTAATTTCTGAGTTTATCACGCAGAGAAACTCCGAGCATAGCCCTCTCCATAGCTCGCTGAGTGACCTTGAGCTTCCTCATCCGGCCAGCAGTGAAGGACCACGTGTCAGTTCCGAATGTCATCACTGGCAACACGCACAGGTTGTACAGTCTCGTTTTCAAGCTTTGAGGTATACCTGACGAGAAGATGTGCCGTAATTTCCCAAACGCTGCCCAACCGAGTTGAATCCGTCGATTGACCTCTCGGTCTAAGTTGGACTTACCTAGTCGGACTATTTGTCCCAGGTAAACATACTCGTCAACACCTTCGAGCTTAGTGCTCCGAACAACTACCGGCATAGGTGTGACATGGACATTAAACATGGTCTTTGTTTTGTCCATGTTCATTTTAAGACCAATCCGTTGGGAAGCACTATTGTGGTTATTGAGCATAGTGCTTAGGTCCTCCAGCGATTCTGCCATAAGGACTGTATCGTCGGGAAATCGAAGGTGAGTGATATACTTGCCATTGATGTTGATACCGTATCCTTTCCAGTCCAGAAGCTTGAAAACGTCTTCCAATGCAGCGGTGAAGAGTTTCGGGGATATGACGTCACCCTGTTTTACACCTCTCTGCAATTGGATAGGTTTCGTACTCTGGTTCTGTACTCGGATAGCCATCGTAGCCCTACTATACAAGCATTTCAGCACTTCGATTTACTGAGAGTCCACTTGGCACCGCTGAAGGGACTGCAGCACCGCCCAAATTTCGACGGAATCAAAGGCTTTTTCATAGTCCACATACGCCAGACATAGTGGCTAATTGTACTCCTCTGACTTTTGTACAATTTGCCGGAGGGTATTTATGTGGTCTATGGTGCTAAATCCTTTTTGGAAACCGACTTGTTCAGGAGGCTGGAAGTCTTCAAGTCTGCGCGCGAAACGATACATAATGACTCTCGAAAATAGCACGTAGACGCGGCTCAGAAGGGAAATCAGTCTGCAGTTCTTCAAGAGAGCGTTGTCGTCTTTCTTGAAGAACAAGACCACCGCACTTCTGCTCCACGCCTCCGGTGTAATGCCACCATGGAGGACGGAATTAAAGAGCTTCTGAAGGACTTCAAGTACCGGTTTTCCACCCGCTTTCAGAAGCTCCGCTGTATTTCCATCCTCGCCTGGGGCCTTGCCGGTTTTAAGGTGCTGGAGAGCCATTCTAATCTCGCTCAGACTGACGTCCGGGATATCATCGGAATAATGTCGGATAAGACTCGCTCTTGGATCGTTACTCACACTCGCATGTGGCACCAACGATGACGTGTACAGCTGCCCATAGACCCTCTCAATCTCACTCAAAATCTCAGGTGCCCCGGAAACGATGCTGCCACATTCTGTCTTCAGCTTTGACAGTTGGTTCTTTCTGGCAGACAGATCTCTGGCAAAGACTTTGGAGCCTTGGTTCCACTCGATCGCTTCTTCAATACGAGCTGTATTGAAGTTGCGTAAGTCCCGCCGCATGCATTTGGAGATCTGTCTGTTCAGTTACCTGTATGCTGTCAAATCTGTTGAAGAATGTAGCTTCATCTCCCGTCTAACAGCCATGAGATTAAGAGAGTGATCGGAGAGTTTTGTGTTCTTCTGCGGCGGGTCTTGCAGAACTTAGCTCCGACCGCATGGACAGTTTCCACGAGCTTGTCATTCATATCGTCCACTTCATTGCAGTCTTCTAGGCACTGAAAACGGTTTTGTAACTCGAGCTGAAAGGTTTCGGGACTTTGGATTAGAGCAAGAGGGGGACGGAGCGTTGACTTCATTAAACGAGACCTTAACGTTTAGGTTCAGTGTGCCTCTAACCATTCGGTGATCGCTGCCGGTTTTCACCCTCGCGTTCACTGAGACATCACTGAACAGTTATCGTCTGGTCGTCATAAAGTCAATCTCATTTTTTGTCGAGCCGTCGGGGCTCGACCAGGTCCACTTCCTGTGGGGCCGCTTCTGGAAGAAAGAGTTCATCATAAAAAGTCCCTCTTTCTCCATGAAGTCGGCCAGCTGCTGGCCCCTTGGGTTCCGTTGCCCCATTCCAAATTTCCCTACTTTCAGCTCACCATTCTCTCTTGTGCCTAGTTTTTTTTTATATAGGATTAGGGTGACAACCGAGCACACATTCCACCTGATGGTAAGTGGTTGCTGCGGCCCAGGATGGATGGAATGCCTCATCAAGGGTCTCCGATCACCTGCACTCACCAAGCGAAACGCATAGGTAAACCTCTACTTCACGCTGGTATTCTGTAAGTTCGTGGTACCACCCCGGTTCGAGCCGGCCCACCCGTGCGACAGCAAAAGCTGCCGCGTGGCTCTACCACTGTTAAAGTTGTAGAGCCACGCGGCATTTCACTTTGCATTGAAGTCTCCCATTAACACCGTATATTGGGTTTTGGAGGAATGCATGGCTCTAGAGATATCCTCATACATTTCCTCCATCTCCTCATCGGGGTGTGCCGAGTTTGGTGCGTAAACCTGTATGACCTTCAGCGAATACCGTTTGGTGATTCTGAGTATAAGGTACGCAACCCTCGTCGACACACTCTCAATATTTACAACGTTGTTAACGAGAGACTTGTGGACGATAAATTCGACACCTCCTTGGGACAGATGGTCGCCCTCCCGGTAATAGAGCAAGTTGCCGGGTTCGAGGATTACCGTTTCCTGCCCTCTCTTCGGACTTCGGATAATCCTATAATATGTCAGCGTAACTTGTCTATCTCTTCTTCCAGCTGCACAATCTTCTCGTCAGTCCTCAGGGTGCGTGCGTTGTATGTTGCCAGGTCAAGTCGTCGTAGGTGGCAACCGAACCTCCACCGGAGATTCTTAGCTTTACCATGTTACCACGTTACCATGGTCGCCACCGTAGCCAGAAATAGCAGGGCCACCGGGGACTGGGGGCCGTCTCTTAGTAACTTTATCCATTTGGGGGGTATTTGCCATAGTTGCCACGCTTGGCGAGCGGGTTGGCAACCGCAGTTTTTTTATTGTATTTGTACACGCCCCTAGATGCCCTGACAAAGGTCGACCATACAGGGGCCCATACAGCTGTAGATTCGACGGACAACTAAGGGTGGGGCCCAATAGCCTATGGAGACTTATTATTCTACACAATAGATATAAGGCTAGGTAATTAATAAGAAAGTACCTGGTTCCGAAGCTAAGACTGACCCCAAGGCTCGGTCCGACGGTAGGTAGGTGCATATAAGTAGTGTGTAGTAGTGTTTCTATATGTGACTTGACGGCCCGATTTAATCAGACAGAAAATCCACCGGAGCTGATGTTCTCCCAATGCGCGCTCCCTCCAGTCATGGATGACCCATGGAAAATTTCTCCCTTCATTTCACTATTTCAGTTTATCCACTTTATTGTACACTATTTCAATCTATCAACTTTATTGTACATTTAATTAACTTCAAAGTAAACCAATTCAACGTTCATCGAAATCAAACACGTGACACCCGACACAAGTAACGAACAGTCGTTCAAAGTTCAATATTCAAGGTTCCGGGTTTATTTAGCACCAATTTACAAACAGGGAACGAACGCGATCTCTTCTCCAGACACAAAGTTCCGCGTTCCAAACACCAAACTAAATTCCTTCGTACGATACCAAAAATACCACGCCCGCAATATGAACTCAAAATAAGCCTCGCTGACACGCAAAACTAACTACATAATCAACACACAAAAGGCACTTAACGCGACGGTATAGTTCAACAATAACTTCCAAAAACAATTAACCGGGCCACGCCCTCGAAATGGAATGCGAGCATCAAATTCCAGACCGTACGTCCATTCGGCGTGCGCGCAAAGTTCCACGTCACACAAGCAAGTTAAATATTGCAAAATGCACTTCAACATGCAATCACTAACAATTGACGTAATTACTTTAATAAGTCAAACTCAACACAAGCCTCTTGTCACGAAACGTACAACTTACACAAACTTATTCGAGGCGGTCTACACGAAACCCAAATTCAATAATAAATTAAACGCGCACAAATACGCAAATTGTAGACCACAAAACCAAAAACTGGCCGCGCGAAACCGATGCAACGGTAACAAAATAAATGCAAGCTACTGTTGCTAGCCCACGAGGCCGAACGCTGGGAAGCGGCATACCGCTCCCCCCCCCCCCCCCCCCGGCGGCGCGCATTTCACCTAACACCATCGGGCGATGCGCTTAGTCAAACGCGAATGGATGGCGATTCAAATGCCCATGTTTGGGCCTAAACAGTATTTTTGCTGTTATCAGGAAAATGCTGCTGCCCATCTCCTGCTTGTTTCCCTTTGTCGCCTTTTACGACTACCACGGGAAGATATGGGGTAGTGGATATTCTTAACCGCCACTACACGGCGGTTAAGAATATCCACTACCCTATTTACCACTATTTATTAGTATGATTTCATTATCTTATGTTTAATTTGGATATGTGTATTTTGTTTGTAGTATGTTAATTTTTATAATATTTTTTGTGTTCTCTGTAAGGTTCACTGACAGAGAAGGGTTTTTGGCAGTAAGTCCGCATTTTGATCCTGTAAGATTAAATGCCATTAAAAACATAACTTGTAAAAAACCAAGTCTCGCAACTCAGTTATTCTACCGTAAAAAGTTGTGAGATCCATGTAATACCTAGTCAGTTTATTTATTCAGTGCCTACTTAAGGGTCCTTCTGTTTTAAGTTATTAAGTAATTAGCTACCCTAACAACATCTTATAGTGACCATATCAATATTAAAAATCGTTTATGTTTTAAATAAATAGATCGATTTAGCCATCGCATGAAAACTCAAAGTATCTCACAAGTAATAATTATTATATTAAATTAGATTGTTTAGTGTGATTGCCAAGTCAATCTATGTATTTAAAACATACAAGGTTTTTATTATTAATATGGTCTTTATAAGATGTTGTTAGGTTAGCTAATTACATACGTAATAATCTGAGACAGAACGACACTGAAGAAGGTACTGAATAAGTTAACCGATTTGTTATTTTATATTACAACTTTTTACGGCAGAATAACTGAGTTGCGTAACCTGTTTTTTTTACAAGTTATGTTTTAATGGCATTTCATTACCTTTTATAGCTGCTTCTGCTTCTTCAATACCAACTACGAATTTTCGGGCAATTTATTCTACTTAATACTTTGCGGGATTTTGGTATAACTTCATAAGACATGTCCCATTCTTGCTTTTTTCATTCCGTTGACCATTTTACAAGTTATCTTTGAACATAGTTATATCTAGGTACCTATCTTCATCTATTATTCTATTATATTATACATATACAGGTACACTCATTCATTCTCTGCAAATGTAACTTTGTACTCCTATATATTTATCTAGGATTACAAAGTTATTTATGCAGTTGGTGTATCTAGAAAACTGGACCGAAATTACATAATATTTTAGTTTTTCCTTGATTTATACCCTAAGCACTAATTGAATTCTAAATTTTAAGCTTCTACGTCTGCTAGAAGTGCCTTAGAGTTTTGATGATCGGTCTGTCTGTGATTGACAAAACTAAGAAACTTTGACTAGTTATAATTCTTAAACTACTTGTTCAAATTGAATGAAATTTGAAATATACTGTGTTTATACAATGCATGTTTGGTTACTTTAGGCTTCTAATTTTATCCACTACGAAGTTATAGGGGGTCGAAAATAGCCCCGAAATGCATCGAGAAAAGGATGGCACTGCCGTGTCGCTTTGTTGCTTGACTTCGCGATATCGCGATATATAAATAAATTTTGCATACCCACTACTGCTACCTATATTTATCCTCGATTAGGAATCAAAATGAAGACACGTTGCCGTCCTTCAAAATTAAGATGGAAAGTCTCGTTACCAGTTACAAGGGTTTACGGGCATAATGGCAATTTCACTGCCGAGATACGATACGTGAAAGGATAAGTTTAAACACCGCTGCGTGTTGTGACGACACAACAGCGGATTATTTCTTCAGTTGTATTCCTTTGCGATAAGTATTCAGATTTACGGTTTCGTAGCGAGATGCGGGATCAATTTCCACGCGGAACAAGTATTTGAGAAAAAGTAAAGTATGTAAGACCTTTAAAAGAAAAAAAAAGTAAAAGAAATATAATGATATCTTTTATAATACAATTTATAAGTATTCGTTAATTTAAAATACTGACCGCAATGCCGGGTGCGCCAGTGCGACCCTCAGCACCCATTATTCCGGGCGGTCCTGGAGGTCCTTGCAGTTCAGGAGCTTTCTCAAGCAGTGATAATATAATGCTGGAATTACAGCCACACTGTCCTAGTGATGCGTAATGCTCGCCAAATATTTGCTGTAAAATAAAGAACATTTATTAAGAAGATTTTGACTTATTTTTATTTCATTTCACCTGGTTACTTTAAAATACACAAATTTATAATTTAAGATTTATAACTTAAGATTTTAACCAACCATAACAGTTTTCAAAAGTAATTATTGTTTATTGTTATTGTTTAATTATCTGCTCACATGTACTTATGGATTACTGTAATTGCATATATTATTATAACGCAAAGCGTTATTAGGTATTAGGTAGTGCATTACTCTTAACACGTCAAGGTCAAGCAATTTTGTGGTCTTAAAATGCATGTATCATAACCATTTTGCACTTATACGATAATATGAGTATCCGTATATCAAGAAAACACTCTGATTAATCGATCTTACATTTTACAAAAAAAAATATATTGCTAATTTGATAAGAAAACGGTTTCAATAAAATTTTACGTGGACGTCTGGATGTAGATTTTGTGTGGTCACGATAACTCCTGAAAATATTGACGTATCGAGACCGTATTTCTTTTATTAGCTTCAAAATTACATCAAGTGGTTCCCTATTTCATATCAATAGCTTAGTACGCGTCGTTTGTTAACAAAATGATTTTCAAATTTTATAAGTTTTTTTGCTATTAAAAATTTAAAGGCGCTTTAATTTTTTTCTTAAGCCCTTGATAGAGAAAGGGCAAATGTACCTACCATAAAGATTATATCGATTTTATATAATCGATTTATTCTGATGATTTACTTTTTTCATCAAGACTAAATGAGACGCTCATAAGGCGTGCAATTTTGGATTTTCCAAACTCTTTGGTTAATATTTTCATAATGAACATCTATTTTGCATTTCATAAGTCCATGGCTAAACTTTGCCCTTCAAAAGTCACCTTCAAGTGAAACACTTGTATCCATCGACTCCCTCAGGTCTCATCAAACCGTCGCAACTTCTACGAAAGTACTGCCATACACTGCGCTTCTCGGTACGAAGTAGAAAGCTTTAAATGCTAAATCGCACTGTCGTAGTGCAACATATGCCTGTTCGATATTAAAATCTTTTTTCATTAAGAATTAAATTACAAACTCCTTTGTTCACCAAATTGAACAAAGCAGTATTTTGTAACTAGTTTACGTTCGCATAATGTGTGAGCGTGGTCCTTCCCTGGTCAATTAGACCCACTCTGGTGCAGCAAAAATACACGTGAACCGTGGCTTTAAGAACTTAAGTTACTACCTCACGCGGTATGCATTGAAAGGCGAAGTAACGGTTTCGTAAAATAGTTTACGAAACCGTTAGGGTTCTAAGGTAAACATTTCAAAACTTCCGAACGAATTGATTCGTTAGTCGACCTCTTGATCTATGTTCAATTTATCTAATGGATGATTTGCCCTGAGTATACATATTCGTGAATTCAATTATATTGTTTATATAACTTTTACATATATTTGCAAGAAGAATTTATATTCAATTAATTCTGGCGTAGTAAAATAAGCAATAACCCATATTAAATATATTATACACGCGTGACTTATTTACAATACGTACCTTTATTTCGACCTTCTGTAAAGCGTGAAAAAATAGGACTTTATTAGCATAAGTTACAAATATAAAATATGTCAAAGATACCCGAAAACACCTTTGAGAGACATAAAGTACGGCAGAGAACTAGCAGAGGTTATGACTATTGAGGCATAAGCAAAAATGTAACTCTATAACGTATCCAGCTCTTATAAATAAAATTCACGGAAAGTCAATTCTACACCATAAGACAGAAAATTTAATTCGAAATAAAATTTAACATTTTTATCCTATTACCTTACAAAAACACACATAAACGATTCTTTTAAAGTCAATTTAAAGAGCTGAATAAAAAAGCAGGTGCTTTAAACCGTTGGAGCTTACGGCTAAAGCACCTCGAATTGTACATTTTAAACGTTCCGCTTCGTAAATTTTATCGGAAATTTAATAGGGTTCAGGGTCATCACATTTGAATTATTACGTATTTAATTTATGATTTTATCAGATTTGAATTATATTTCAATGTTTTGTCATAAGATCTTATCATCAAAAGTTATTTTAGCAGATCATTGTTGTATGTATAATATATCTCCAAAAAGTTCAAAGCCAAATGTTACCCATTGTAAAATCAGGGGAACAATATCTTTAATACTACCACTGTATAAGCTTTTGTTTTTATTTTAAATCCTTTTTAGGAATAGCGTATATCTGCTGGTATGCGTTCCTAATAAGATTTGCCTATGTTAGACAGACAGTTTAGTGACCGCAATGCTCATAACATTTCAGTTTTAGTGCTACATCTCATTACAAATCTATTAAACTTAGGGCCAACATACTTAAATGGAAATAGTACAATCTGTCGGATGTCAGACATTCTTATAAGAAAAAAAGAAAGAATTGTAACTAAAATCTAAATAAAAAAAAATCAACTTGTTAACACTCAACAAGTGGTAAAATTCAACATTTTGTTCAACCGACTTAAGTCTAACTTTAAAACTACTGGTCAGATCTTGATCATATGGGACCAAATGAGAAGCACTAGCTTTCAAATAAAAAAGAATCATCAAAATCGGTTCATATAGAAAAAAATTATGAGGTAACACACATAAAAAAAACAATCAAATTGAGTACTTCCTCCTTTTATAAGTCAGTTAAAAAGAAGTATGAATAACTAACGAGCACATAGTCTACGTGATGGAAGGTGAATGATGTATGCTGCCCATAGATACCTACATTTATACTCATTCTCGATTAAGACTTAAATGCAGATGGGTCGCGTTAACCCCTGAGGGCTAAGATGATATGCCTCGCTATCAAAAATATATCACAATACTATACTCTTGCTATTTTACTGTGATGTTCTGTGTGAACGTAGTATTTTTCCAGTCGAGGTTACCCATTTGTGTCGCTATTATAACATACGCTGTTACGAAGACATACGCTTAGAACGTATTTTAGTTTTCATTAAAGGTTCTATTCTATTTCTCCACCGTTCCGGTTCTTTACAATGATGAATAAATAGGACATACGCAGAAAAAATACCGTCCAGACAATATACGCTATCCATCTTTTCTCGTGGGTGTCGTAAAAGATGAAAGAAGGGAATAAAACTGGAGACGGGCAGCAGCGTCTTCTTAAGAACAACTAAAATAATGTGGTTGCCTACTTGAGGAACCTATGGGGATGGCCTACAGCCAGCAGCGACTTTTGATTAGCTGTAACGATAACATAAAAAAACTTATTCTATTTAGTCTGCAAAAATCATCATGAAACTTAAAGCTAAAACCCAGCAATAATAAAAAATGTCACTAGTGTGAGATTTTCATAAAATTTGCTACTTTACAACTGAACTTTACTATATGAATTTGAGATTTTTCTCATAAAACCAAAATTTTATATTTTTTATGAATAAAAAGACTTAACGACAGCGCCATCTAGTGGGTGTGTTGCTTTAACTTATCTATCAGCTCATTAGATAATTTTATTATCTAAAATAATATGTATTATCACAGGTATCACTGTTTGTTTATATTGTCGTTACGATTAATTAATATATCTACCTATAGCAACATTTGATTAACGGAATTAGAATATAGAACAATAGAGGAATGTTATAATATATAAAGAAAATTTAAAACAGTAAATGCCATGTATTTTACTTTACCAAGCAAAATTAAGTTTACAATACATGCATATGACATTAACGTTTACATTCTTTGTCCTATAAGTAAGAGGAAAATCCTAACTTCAACTAGAGAGGCTCGTATTCAGCGGTGAACTTTTACGGGATCGTAATGAAGAATAATTTATAAAAAGTAGTTTTTCTTTTGTAAAATAGACAAGAGGAAGGAATAAGTAAGTGAATACCCAATTTGTGAAATCGAAGTAATAACTGGTTTGGTAACAGATAATACCATTAGAGAAAGTAACATAACTCAGTCGGGATTGAAATTCGTACAAAATATGCCGGTGAGTAAATCAAATAAATCAATATCCCAAAACGAAAGTTGGATTGGAGCCAAAGCTTAATAAACTTTGTTATAACTGGTTCAATCAGTTCAGTTCCTGAAGTAAAGTATACAAAGTAAGCCTAAAATTAATTTAAGTAAGTTTTTGGTAAACGATGACATGGTAATAAAAATAAAAATGTTATTTTAACGGAAGGCAGACTTGATTTAGTTTTAGATACTATAGAGAGTTCTACTTTGTACACAGTTACGCGATATAAACATATCGCGTAACATGGATACAAAATAGAACATGCAGTCGAATAAAGAACGTTTTATTAAGAATCGGCTAAAAAGAACGTACTTTAGTACTACTTACTGTTATAAAAAGAAACATAGTTATGCGTGAAAGAAGTCCAAACACTTTGTAATACTACTATTTTAATAATATTTATGAGGTGAAATTATTCACAGTCAAATACAAATAGGCAGAATTTATAGGTGATTGAGGGGCTACAAATATGTAACGGTCGTAGCACTAACTGTCCAGCATACCAGCGTAAAAAAATCAGCTTGATGCTGTTGTGTTTCGTATAGTGAATGTTGAGAACCAGAAATTATTTTAACTGAAAACGAGGTATTCCATTTTAGATCTCAAGGGTGACAGCGCATCTGCATTTTGATTATTAATCCAAGATAGATGTAGATGTCTATAGGTCACGGTATCCACTTATCATCAGGTGGACTGTGTGTTTCTGGGTGACAAACCCATATTCTATAAAAAAGACAAAATGAAAAATATGGTATCCTGTAACAAGAATAACTATCAAGTTTATGCCTAAGGCGATTTGATTGAAAAATTGATTCAATACCTTTACTAGTATGTTTAAGCGATGTAGATATGGCTAACAGCATTGTACATAGGTAATGAAACCTTTAGAGATACGAAAATTACTCAACATAAAAGAAAATAACGACCGGTAGTAAGTGATTCCACGACTGATATTTCTCGACATGAGCTACCATAAAATGCACGTTTCTTTTTATAGCAGTAAGATATACAAATCTAAAAAAAAATCTGAGAGTAAAAGACACAATATTAGTGAGGTTGTTTAGTGTTTTATTTTTTTTTTTTTGAACCATGTTACAGTGAGAAAAAAGAGGGAGTAATAGGTGAACGTAGTAGGAGCTAAAGCTAGAGATATTTTTATATAATATGTGTGTGCAAGCGCGCGCGCATCTTTACCTAGCAAAATAAATAATGAAAATAATACATATATCTATACAAATAAATAAAATTGAAGTGTCTGTTTGTAATGTCAAAATTAGGTACAGCTTTTTACTAAAAGCATATGCAATTAGGGTGAAGTCACCAATTATCAGCACTTTAAGAAAATGTTCATTTTCAAATAGTGGAAATAAGTAAAAAAAAGAAAAATATTTCATCACGATATATGTATTTGGTTTACCAGTGAATAAATATTTAGAGAAACCATTTTTTCTTCGAATTTCATACATTTATTTCATTCTATGGTGCTTTAATCAAAATAACGCCTATTCCCCAATTGATAGCAGTACAATTACCAATTACTAGCACCCATTGACCTATTTATTGGCATAGTTTTTTAAATCGTAAAAACACTTAAAATAAACAAATAAATTAGGAGATACTTGGAATTATTACATAAACACACATTTTAATGCAGTAGAAAAATCATTTATTTGCAAAAGTAAAAGCTCTATTACATTATATGTAGTTTTCTTTCTTATATCATAAGCCATAACTATTCATCTGCGAGTATCTTTTCTAGCTCTTCTATTGTGTACGATTTCTTTTTATTTTCAATAATTTTATCAAGAAAATGTCTTACAGTTTCTGCTTCACTTTGGGAATCCCTTGCCACTACTTCAAATTTATTATCTTCTTTAATTTCAATGTTTTTCTCTAAAGGAATATTAATGGTAACATCAGATAAAACAGTTACTTGTTCGAAGTTGATCTTTTATTTGGAAAGACTACTAAGGCTGGTGTGATATCAACATTTGCCCCGAATGTAAATAAAACCGTTAACGATGATTTTGCAGGCGCATTGTCGACTTCGTAGACGTCTTTGTCACCTTTAATAGCTAAAACTTTTCCACTTTTGGGACACAATTGAAAATTTGACTCATCACCATTGAATACTCGTGTAGGATCATTATGGATACTAAAATATTGATTGTCTTTCAAGTATTCTTCAATTTTTGTAAACCACCCTTTAATATCTTGTTCAGAAACTGCTGCACTCGCCGCAGTGACGGGTTCAGAAGTACGTTCTGTTAATTGTGGGTGTCTTTTCAAAAAAAGGCTGTACCACTTCTTACCCGGAACCCCATTCTTAAAAGGATTATGTCTTCCAGATTTCTTTACAAAGTTTGCGACACTAAGTTGAAGGTCAATTCTTCTCCTTGGAAAGCCTTTTCTACAGCATTCGTTTGCCCACTTTACAAGTATATCTTCCTCATCTGAATTTAAAACAGGACTTGGGCCTGGCAGGTCTTTTAGATCATTTCTCAATCTTGATTGGATTGTCCCTCTCGGAACATTGAAAGTTTTACATGCAAGTTTTTTTGACATGCCATTTTTTACAGCTTCTAGGGCATGTATTAAGTTTTCCTTTCCATATTTTTTTCTTTTTGTAAATTCCTTCTTCTTCTCCTCTTGCTTCTTTGTTTTCATTTTAATTGTGTACTAAAACAGAAAAATCCAATTAACGGCATAGACAGTCGCCAATTATCAGCACTATGCTGATAATTAGCAATGCTCGTATCAGCACCATGCTAATATTTGGAAAATGGTATTTAATAAATAAATAAATGGACGGAAATCAGTTAACAGCAATCATAAAGCATAAAATCAAATAAAAATATAATATTTTTTTCCTACTTATCAAACCCAATTATCCGCACGGGTGCTGATAATAGGAAAAACCTACAAAATAGGAACCATATGCTAGCACCCGACTTTTTTTGATTAATCGACAACTTAACTTAAAAATATATTTCAATTTATGTAGACAAATGACTCTCGAAATCCTCGAAACCAAAATAACACAAATATAATAAAACCTTTTCATGGTTTAAGAAGATAATAAATCACAAGAACTTACCATCACCCAATCAAAATGCCCGAAATTTTTTACCTTACACACACAGGTAACTACTTATTTATTGCAATCGTCACGCCATCTTATTTTTTTAAATGTCTCTAGCTTACATAATAAGTTGATAAATTTAAATCCGATTTTTTTTCACGTAGCAATTTAAATTCAACGACAACTCTTATAATTCGTATTTTTTTGTGCAGTGCTGATAATTGGTGCAGTGCTACGAATTAGATACTTTACCCTATATACAGTACTAATAACAAAAACACAATTTTTAAAGTTTTTGTCTGTTTGTCTGTCTGTCCGTCCATCTGTCTGTCTGTTTGTTCCGGCTAATCTCCGAAACGGCTGGACCGATTTTGACGGGACATATACATATCTATACAAATAAATAAAATTGAAGTGTCTGTTTGTAATGTCAAAATTATAGCTTTTTACTAAATGCATATGCAATTATATACGATACTAATAACAAAAACACAATTTTTAAAGTTTTTGTCTGTCTGTCTGTCTGTCTGTCTGTTTGTTTGTTCCGGCTAATCTCCGAAACGGCTGGACCGATTTTGATCGACCAATTTTCACTGTCACATAGCTGATGTCACAAGGAGTAACTTAGACTACTTTTATTTTAGAAAAAGAATTGGGGTAAAGCGCAACAAAATTAAAACCTCAAATAACACGCGGGTGAAGTCGCGGTGAACAGCTAGTTGTTAATAAATTCGATATAGTCTTATGACCTTAACTTGTCTAAAGGATAATTTAAAATAAACGATATAGCCAGATACAAAGAAAAAGACATTATTAGTTAATAGTTACATTATTAGTAATACATACGATTTAAAAAAAAATTCAATGTGCTCTTAAAAGTATTTTTAATTTAACCTAGATTTTGTGCAAATAACATTGCCGACAGATGTTTATATTAGCGAAAAATTGCGATAAAGAAACAGTGTACTTACATCGTCTCCAGAACCAGAAAACTCGGATACAGGAAGTGTGCCAGGTGTTCCAGGTGGACCAGGTGGTCCAGGTGGTCCAGGCGGGCCACGAATGGATTCTCCAGGAGGACCCTACGGAAATAGTTTTCAAATAACTTGATAAGTCCACTGGGCAAAATGTAGTAATTTTTATATAAGTGAATAATTCCCTTTCATTAAATTAATTAAAAACACTATTATAAATACTGTTTAAATATGATTCTCTAAACATAATGAAAATAATTTGCCATTCAGAGAGCAAACGTTGACAACGTTTTTGGTGTTTAGTTATATTTTTACATAATGTTATTAAATATTGTATAATTACTATAGTTTTATGTAAATAAATGATGATTATTTATATTGATTAATTATATTTATAATAAGATATGTATATTTTATTTATTTATTTATTAATAAAATATATTTTATTTTTATAAAATTTAATTAAAAAATTTTAAATCTCTGCGCTAAAAATTTAAAAATTAATTTCGAACATAATAAATGATCTGTATAATATATATCTTTTTTTGTACCTAACCATGGATAGTTAAGTTTATAATAATTGTATTTAGTTTACACTTCTGACTTAATTGTTAATTAAGATTCGCATTCCAATTTTGTAAAGAAATAACAACTTATGTAAGTACTTGTAACAGTCATAGATGTGTTGTTTTATCTCCGTTATTCTATTTTCAAAGAGTTCAGTCTATTTTTATTTAGAGCTGGTAAGAAAAACCACATTTTACAAGATATTTACGTAATAAATTTTAATAAGCACATAATATTTAAACAACATATAATACTAATAAAAATAGCGATAATATATAAATACATATATTCAGTAGTAGCTGCTGTATGTTATTATTGATTCACGTATCGTTGTTAAGATTTTAACTATTGTTTATTATTTATTGGTCCAATATTTTTACGAAGGTTTGTTCAATATCAATAAGGAATTTAAAACTTATATAATAAAGAAAATAAAAGGAATACGTCCGTAATTGTATTTATTTCTCATTAAGGTTATATTCATTTTTATTGACACAGTAAATTACAGCTTTAAAGATTTATTTATTAGCAGGTCTGGGAAACAGCTGCAAAACATTATTTATAATCTGTCACTACTTTACTTTTCTTAATTAATAAATTGTAAAGAGTAAGAATACCTATTGCCCTTAATTTTATAAATGAATAAAAACCTTGACTCATAAATTAAAATAACTTTATTGATCATCTCTGAAATTTATTCAATAAATTTTAATTTAAAGGCGTTTTTAACCATGCAAAATGATGCAGCCGAAGATGGTTAAGCGTACAACTTTGATTAAGATAAATTTAAACGATGATATTTCCTTATTGTATTACCTATTATTTTCTTTAATATATTGTTTGTGCGGGAAATGTTAGGCTACAGATAAAATACATTATTTATTTAATAACTGGCTTTACGGCTCTGGGATCTAGCCCTACTGAGCCTGAAGTTACAATATATTAGAATTATCCTTCATAGTATACTGCTTCACAATATGTTGATGCGTCACATTGTGCAGCCCTTAGGAGATTTTGTCGGCAACTTGAGTCAGCAGACAGCTGACGGTTGGCGATGGTATCTCAAGGCGCCTAAGCAGAGAGACACCTTATTTTGAGAATCACATCACCATCAGAGCACTTGTTTCACAGTTTCCACTAATAGTTCACATGCACAGACATTTAATACATAAAATCGCACCACTTTTACATATGAAAGTCCACTTCAAACCATTATTTAAACAATAATACAGGAACAGCAAACCGCCGCCTGTCAAGTTCCCGCCAAAAACCCCCAGATAAAATACTTTAGTAAAAGACATAGATTAATGATGAATTATCATTAATCTATGGTAAAAGACATAATGTTATAACATAGAAATACATTAACAATATACAAATGTATATTTAAATATCTGTGACATTTACTTTCTGGCGGTTATAGCTTCTAATTCTGATAAGAAATAATTATAAATGCTATTTGATATTGAAATGCAATATAAAAAATAGAAAATTAAGCCTTGCTTGCCCTTGGTCCTCGGTCCCCTTTTTCACCCCTTAATCGAAGTGGGTATCCTGAAAACAAAAGACACTCTCAACCTACATCATACATATAATATTTAATATTACTAATAATATCTTATATTATACTAAAATAGTTCTAATAATATATAATTATTACTATGAAAATTTACATGTAATGTAATGTACATGAATGTTCAAAAAATAGTTCAACTGGATTTCGTGCCGGTTTTTTCCAGAATAGAAGACTACGACAGTTCTATTGCAGCAAATTTAATGAAAAATAATTTCATATGCCTTGCCATTCATTCATTCTTCCATGCATTATCAAAAATGTAGTCACCAGACTATCAAACATCGATTTCTTACAGAAAGATTCATCAATTAATCTGCGATGTACAATTACTTGTTCTAAATACACATTTGTTAATTTAAATAAATAGACCGTTATCCGCACCATCCAATCCAGGCGGCAACGGTGGGAACGGTGGGGGCATAGTCCCATAGCGGCCAGATCCTTCAGCATCACCTTCTTCTTGGTCCACCTGTTTCAAGGATAGTATATTTTATTTCAAAATTTCCATCTTAAGAAAGTTATGAAACAGAAACAGAAACAGAAATCTTTAGTATTAATTACGAGGCTTAATCATTTCTTAAGCACAAAATTAGCATTATTTGTCATGAGAAATAATGTGATTTATTAATTTGATTATATTACTTGCAGATTATATTATATTAAATCTCAAACAACAAATGAGACGTAAGCAAGTAAAACCACAGCAGTAGAAAGAAAACAAATTCACATATTATCGAACAATTGATAAGTGGACTAATTTATATAATTAGACATATAATATTTATGTGTCTCTAAAACATAATATACACAAAAGTCCTTAGCAAACGATAAAAAGACAAGTGTTTGCATGTTTACTTTAACGAACAAAGGTTCTGACGAGGTATCGCTTATGAACATTGTACTTCTGGTAATGTAGCTTCATGAGCGTTTGATTACAGCGTCGGAAACTGAGAACTCGCGAAGCGAATACGTAATTTGCGAAGTTACCAACATGTCGAATGTGGAGTATAAAGACAGGGTCGATATTGTCTTTTTAACCGACTTCAAAATAGAAGGAGGTACTGAATTCGACTATATTTTTTATGTGTGTTACCTTCGAAATTGTTTCTAAGTGAATTTTGATGATACTTTTTTTTATTTGAAAGCTAATGCTTCTCATGTGATCCAATATAAATTTGATCAAGATCTGACCAGTAGTTTTTAGTTATCCTTAATAATGCGTATTTAATTGACTGAAATAGGTTGTACAAAATTATTAATCACCACTTGTTCATGTTCGATTAACATGTGTCTTGTATTTTGTATTAGATATAAAAAATAGGATTACAAAATTTTTAAATCTGCTCCTTGATTAATATTAGCATCAGCGTTGGTGTTAGCCTAAGTCCATTGCTGGGCATAGGTCTTTCACTAAATAGTTGCCCCTACTAACCACGCTGAGATAATAAAAATTGTATATAAGATTGGTGTACTTAAAATTGATGTCCTTGAACTGTTAGTGTTAGTTCTAGATTAGGTATTTTTGAATTGCTTTTTCGCTATCGGTCGGCCGTCAGAGACTCGTCCATCGATCAGAAGGGTGCACCGCGAGTTCTTGTGTTTATTTCCGATATCCTTCCTCATATTCATTCCAGCTATTGAAAAGACCACTGCCGAACACAATCTTCCTCATAGATTGCCTCATAGACGAGGATATTCGCTATAGTTGTCACCGCAGATTTTTATTACACATTTTGATTATATACAGAAAGATGATGCTGCCCATCTGTTTTATTTCCCTCTGTCGCCTTTTAGGACGCCTACGGAATTATAGGCTAGTGGATTCTCTTTAGCCGCCACTACATGGTATTTATTCTAACATTCTATTATCACACGTTTTCTTCAAATTTAATTATTATCTAGTGTACGATATGTTTCTAAGGTAGTGATTATAGGTTCCATGAAATTTATCGTGCTAGAATTTCTTATAAGTATTCTCGATTTTTTTTTAAATACAAAAACATATTTTAAAAATATTTTTTTGCAAAATCTATAAAGTGGTTTAAATAAAGGTAAAAATAGTAAACTTTATTTTCTTTTTTTAAATATGTTGATCATTTCAAATTTGACCTTCAAGTATTTCCTACTACATCAATGGCTGTTTAAAGTAGATTAGGTCATCGTCCACTGAGTATCAGAAAAAGTGGGCTCGGTAACGATAAAATTTAATATCTAACGCGATGTGTAAATAACACTCGATATTACACAGGATGTAGATATATCTATCTATATATAGTATAACAAGAAGTCCGTGGCAAACTGTCCTTCTGTTTGACCGCGCTAATCTAAAATATTGTGGGGATTCGGTTTTCATCAATATAAATAGACTGAATCACGAAGAAGATTTAGGTAATAATATAATTTTTTAGAATATTTTGAGCAAATTGGCTAATGCCTAGCGACGTGCCGGGGCTTCACACGATGGATTTCTGGATTTCGACAACAACGTTACCGGGTTCAATTGTGAATCTAAACCATTCTCTAATCATCTTAATCACACAAACAAAATTTCATGAAAATCGGTCCAGCCGTTTAGGAGGACTTCAGTCACATACACAGACAGCTTAATATAAACTCACTATGTCTATTGATGGACACCGCATCAAAATTCGTTGCGTAGTTTAAAAGATCTAAGCGTACAGACGGCGAGTAGCGACTTAATACTACGTAGAGATTACGTAGAGAGAAGTCGGAAAAAATCGTGTCATCTGAGGGCTTGCGTTATATATATATATATATATATATATATATATATATATATATATATTTTAGTTATACATGTTCCTACGTCATTTACTTGGCAAAATTTAAATGTAATGCTTGTTATCTTCTAAGTCAAGTATAAGTCCGTTGTATAAATAAGTCACTCCATTTCGTTTAATAGGTGTCGTAAAAGAAGAACCAAGGAAAATTTCATGGCATACAATCTTGAATATTACCAGAAAAGTTTGACAATAAAAATAATTTTAGAGAGAGCTTTCTTCGACCTTCGTGGGTAATCAATGACGATATTTTGTTAAGTAATAATTATATAAATGAAGCTGTTCTTTCAACACTTTAACAAAAAGAGTGACGTCTAATTATTACAGTGTTAAAAATGAGAGAAAAAGACCCGCGTCTGCATTTAAATCTACTAGGGGAGGCTTATGTTCACTAGTGGACTTTTGAAAGGCCCTAACGGTAACAATAACCTGTATCATGCAATTGAGTACAATTATTTAAGTGTATTTATTATTTTTATGTGGTTTTATTTTTTTAATAGAATACTACATTATTTTTGCATGTAAAACATCTTTATAAGTTTTAAAAAATATTGCAAAGGCGTGTAACAATGTGTGGTTATAGCAATGTATCTTACTTCTAATATTCCCTTTATACATATTTTTATTAATACAGGTCTGTTTACGTATGTAAACGAGAAGAATGCTTCGTTTAACTTGCGGAGGGTTCACTATGATTGAAATTGTGGCAAAAATTTTGTCTTATGATTTTAATATTTGTGTTGAGAAATACTCCAGAAGATTTTTATACTTTTCTCTTTTTTTAGCAGACTTCAAATAGGAGGTTAGCAATTCTACTTTATGTCAATTTTTGTATGTTTATTATGTATGTAAGTTTATGCTGCACAAGTGGTAGAGTCGTCGATGGACGCCCTTGACGGAAGTTTAGCGACTAAACTGGTGATTATTGAAGATGGGTCAAATTAAAGGTACCTTAACCGACGAGCATGTATGTGTCAGGATCTTGATAACAAGCGTGAGAGTTTATATTATTATGTTTTATATTATGTATATTACGCGATATCTTCGTCAACTGTAAACCGGTTTTAATTATATTTTTTTCATTACGATTAGGGAGCCCTTACCTATATGGCTCTATATAAATTTTGAGAAATTGTTTAACCCTAAAGGGTGTAAAGAGATAATGAAACTTTTAAAGACACTAATGATTTATTATATTTACGCGTTTTCAAATTATTGGGGTCCCGTACCCGAAGAGTAACCAACTGGTCCCTATTATTAAGCATCCGCTGTCCGTCCGTCTATCTGTCAGCGGGAAGTATCTCATGATCCGTAATAGGTAGACACTTGAAATTTTGTGTATTTTATGTATTGTAGTTTTGTGTATTATATACAAAATGTGGATTTCTGTTGCTGCTATAACAAGAAATAATAAAAATAAAAATATATTAAAGATAAAAGGGGCTCCCCTACTAGAAACGTGTTTTACAATGGTACGGAACCCTTCATGCGCGAGTCCGACTCACACTTAGCCGGTTATCATTTAATTTAATGAAACTATTTAGATGTAACCTGGAACTTGTGTAAATTCCTCATATCACTTAAAATACGACAAAAATTTTACTTTTAATAAAAATTCAAATCCGAATTCAAAGAACTAAAAAGGGTAAGGGTGATAATTGACAATCGACAAATGAACACACGGTCTACGTATATCTACCCTCAATTTAGATCAAAATGCAGATGCGTCATGCATGCTGCATTATGGGTCTACCATTTAAATAGCGATAAGAAAACTAGCAAATACTACACGTGTGATCTACGATTGAGCGCGAATCAAACCACAAACATAATCATCATTTTTTTTAAACAGCTCTAAAGCAGATGAATCTGTAAGAGCCAAACGCCTAACAGCACTGACATCTTGGTATATATAGTCGTCTACTACGTAAATATAATTGTTTCAACTACTTTGAAAAATCTCTGATACTGGCTTATCTTTAGAAGAATTAAATGGAATTATAAAAGTACAATGGCAGAAAAATAGTTGACAAAAATTATTGCGTCTAGAAATAAGTTATATATAAAATGAGTTTTATTAATTTTCTATGATTTTTCAAATAAAAATGTATTTTAATTAAAGCCACAGAAAAAAACAAACATTTTTGGGAATATCAAATGACTTAAATCATTTTACTCTATTCAAGTGTTGCCATTTACTAAATTCATACTATTTTCGTATACACTTTGTAAGACTTCTAACATAACAAAAACTCCAAATATTTTTATATTAAGTTATTATTAGTAATAACTATACTATCAGTAATAATAAAAATAAAAGTGATATGGTTGAAAATAAGTCTATTACAAAGAACTTCCTACAATAATACATTATCTCAATCATAGTAATATGAAACAACTCCATATTCGTTTCATACCTTTGTATGTAAGAAGATAAAAGATGATTCATCTGTCTATAGAGACATTCGAATGTGCGAATGGTCGCAGTTATAAAACACATCAATTGTCTAACTGCATTCGGCAATAAAAGGTTGCTCTTTATTTAACGCGGTCGTTGACACCATGGTAGTAACTATTGCCATCAATGGTTCGAAAAGATATCGTTTTGTCGAGACATTAAATGCTTTATCTATTTAACTGATATACGATATTTATCTGATAAACGATTGCTAACTTTCAATAATTTTGAAATATAATCGGACCAAGACCAAGAAATCAAACCAAATAACCACCAATTCCACTGCACTGATGGTGTGGATTTGGTCATTCACAATGAATAGGGACCAATTTCCGATACCATACTACGGTTACACTTCTAGAACTAAATTTAAAAATAGATATAGTAGTTATAAGTATAAATAAGCTTTACATTATTATGTGTGATGTGTACTGTGTCAAAATAAAAATTTGTTTATTGTCTATTGTCCATTATGTAACATGTCTTTTACTATTATTAATCTTTGCAACAACTATGGGATTATATTGCACGCGCTGATTAGCAACGCGTAAAAAATATTAAGTTTTATAAGCGATTTCAAAAAGGAGGAGGTACTTAATTCGACTGTATTTTTAATGTGTGTGTTACCTCATTTCTAACTTTTTCTTTTGTCTAACTTTTTTCTAGGTGAACCGAATTTGATGATTATTTTTTTAATTGAAAGCTAGTGATTCTCATTTGGTACCATATGATCAAGATCTGACCAGTAGTTTTTGAGTTATATTTAATAATTTATATTGAAGTCGGTTGAACAAAATTTTTAATTTTACCACTTGTTGAGTATTAACAAGTTAAAAAAAATAATTTGGATTATCTTTACCTTTCTTTCTTTCTTTCTTTCTTATACGAATGTCTGACATGCGACAGATAGTACTATATCCATTTAAGTATGTCGGCTCTAAGTTTAACAGATTTGTAACTAGATGTGGCAGTACAACTAAAATGGTATGAGCATTGCGGTCACTAAACTGTCTGTCTAACACAGGCAAATCTTATTAGTAACGCATGCCAGTAGAAATACGCTATTCCTAAAAATAATTTAAAAAAAAAACAAAAGATTGTAAAGTTGTAGTATTAAAGTTATTGTTCCAGTGATTGTAAAATGAGTAACATTTGCCATTTAACTTTTTGGAGATATATTAATAATATAATATTAATTGATTAAGTAGTTTTTGAGTTATACTTAATAATTTATATCGAAGTTGGTTGTACAAAATTATAAATTTTACCATTTGTAATAAAACGTTAATGCTGAGTTTAAAGAACTGAAAAGAATAAAATAATTTCCACATCCTTAAGTCAGTGATAAGACATACTCGTATTGTATAAATGAAATAAAGCTCGGATTTGGGATATGGAATTCATTTTTCTTTTTACTTTTTTGAAGTCACATTTTACTTTTTATTATAATTTTCAATTTTTGACGCGTTGATTAAGGAATACTATAAGCTCAATGTAAAAACCAGAATATAGTAAAAATAGTATATCAAAAGCTTCATCTACTATTTTTGCCATTTTAAGGGGTTACGAAATACCAGCGCAAAATAGCAGCTTTATAATGCTGTATTTCGAATGGTGGGTGTAGAAAACTGGAGATACTTTTAACTGAAAATAAAGCATTGCACCTTTGTCTTCAGGGGTGACAACGCGTTCGCATTTTGATTATTAAGTGAGAATATTTGTAGATGTACATGGGCCACAGCATCCACATGCCATCAGGTGGACTGTGTGTCCATTTGTCACCCTAATTGTATAAAAATAATTTAATTTGGTTCTTTCACGAAGATATTATGTAATATGCATACAAAAAAAAGGAGACTAAGATACAGTCAAATTGAAAAACACCTTCGTTTTGAAGTGGGCTAACAACTACTTTACTATTTTGAAGTGAAAAAAATATGGATTTCTTAATAAGTTATTGCTAATTTTGTGCTTTAATGCTAATTTAAATAAAATATTGTTAGTCATAGACACATAATACGCGCATGGTTATTTCGTAACAATCACAAACGTATTACAAGGTAAATAAAATAACAACAGTCACAAAAATACAATGATTAATTCACCTTGTTTGTTAAGTCTCTACCTATGACAGTACAAAGGCCTGTTAGTAAATACATCACAAAATAAAATAACGTTAGTAAGACACCACGATGTGGATAAAAGCGTACGTGAAGACGAAGCAAAATAAAATTAAAATAAGTAATCACCAAAAAATTATCAATGTCAATTTCATCTCCACCGCTGCCATTACCGATTTCCTGTCAAAACATTATACCGTTACAAAAAATTACATTTTTAATTAACTCACAAAGGCAACGTTTATATCGGGTAGCTATGGGTATATATTTGTCGCAATCAACTACCTTAATTAGTTTTACCGTTAAGAGCCTAGCCTTTATACTTCAACTTGCGGCCTGAATGATAGTCAGCCGATGCGTGTAATACATTGCACCTATTTTGTAAGACAGCGACAAAGTTATGGTGCGATTTTAAGGTAACCCTTGGGCCACCCTAAAGCCGCTTAAATTTATATAATATAGTACATAAGCGTAATTAGGCATTAAATGTTGTATTAGACGCATCGGCTGAAACGCATAGGCTGAATATCATTCAGGGAGCTAATTAAACGGCGGCCGTTAACTGAAAGGCTAATAAAGCTTGTTAGCTGCGATTTAATAAACATAGAAAAATGAAACTTCAAATTTAAAAATTATATTGATAGAAAGACTAATAAAAATAATGGTAAATTATTTTTCATATAACATTTCATCTAAATCTAAATTAGTATAATTAAAATTAATGATTAACTTACCTCAAATGTATTGACACACTGCACTTCAGCTTGAGATGGAGATCCGTACAGCTTAAGCTCTTGAAATGCACCCTGTACCACAATCAACGTTAAAACACATCTCCACGCCTTTTTCATTTCGACTGGCAATTTATCGACCTTATTGCTTGGTTACCGTGGTACATAGCCAAGTTTTTAATTTTTTTTTGTATATAACGTTATCCTGCAGACGATTTCGATATAATTTAAAAACAAAAAATAAACAAAAGTTTATTTATAAATGTAATGATTTGTTATAAAATATTTGTGTGTTTTAAATATGAGGCGATGTAACAATTGTTTATTATGTACAAAATTATTAAAAATAACAGGCAATTTGTATATCTATTTATGTTATATAACGTTGCATGTAAAGTAACTATATAATAGTAAAAAAGTACGTAAATTATTTAACCGGAAACGAAGGAACACGTGCGCGAGCGCAGCACACGCGTGTCAGTCAACCCGGTTGCGACGATGCACTAAATTTAAAATGAAGACTAGGTTCAGTGCGCCCAAAATGCCGTGCCTTCTGCAATCCTGCTTACGATAAGGATTACCGATGTTTAGTGGTTCATTATACGTTGGTTATCCAGAACATTTTACCTGAGTTACTTTCGGTTTTGTTTGATTTTCTTTGGGGATATGGATTTGTAGCGTGCCTACAGTGCAGAACAGAGGTAACAAACTTCATTTTCTATATGGCCATTTATGAAATTAAGGATATGCTACCGGGCCAGACTTAATTTAAATGTATGTAAAATAGATTGGTTTTTTAAATATTTTAATAGCTAACGTGATCGAAAAGGCTCGCAATTTACAACGCGTACAGCGAGGGCATTACAGAATTAACTGTGCTTTTTGGGTATATATTGGTATATTTATATCTTTGGTCCGGGACACTCCAGTGCAAGCTCCTTTCACTGGACCGCATCGAGTGAAGAGCGGCCCGAATCATCGACGATCGAGTTTTTTCTCACTGGCACTCTGTTTTAAATATTTAGTTAAAAAAAATTAAATGGCTTCTTCGGCCTAAAACAATTTTTTAAAGAAATATTATGTAGAGCTACCGAGGTGTGAGTTTGGGTACGAATCGAAGCCGAATTGCTTTTGAACTGAGGCCTTATTATTGCAATTATTTTCCATGGGAGCCTAATACCGCATTTAAGGTTCACTGTGCTATCTTCGCATAATCTTTACTAGACTTTGAATATAGCTTTGTTTGGCTGTTAGAAGCTATAAGATGATATGTAAGATATAAAAAACTAATCAAACGTAATGCAAATATAATATATTAAGTTTCTAGAAAAAAAAATTTACATTCTAGTTTGCCGTAAGTATATAATTTCTTCGATGTTTATTCCAGTGCATTCTAATCACCTGTAATAGTTTGTAGCATTTAAAGTCTCTCTATCTACGTAGGTATGTAAATTATAATTTAAAAAATGTATACCAACGTTGGTGATGCTTTATTCTATCTATACAAATAAATAAAATTGAAGTGTCTGTTTGTAATATCAAAATTACTGCTTTTTACTAAATGCATATGAAATTATATACGGTAAGTACTAATAACAAAAATATCTATCTATTCCTAAGTCGTAACTATCGTCTATCTCGTCCTAAGTCCTACCACCTAGCAAAGAATGTGAATCTGTCATTCCCTTTGTACATGAAGTCCCATATATATATATATATATATATATATATATATATATATATATATATATATATATATAATATATAACTTATTTTAGAAATAGAATTAGGGTGCCGCGCAGAAAAATTAAAACCCCAAATAACACGCGGGCGAAGTCGCGGGGAACAGCTAGTAAGTAATAAAAAGGACTTTGCTGGCACTGGCATTTTCACCTCTTATCACACAAAGGGACTCAATGTACAAAGGGAATGACAGATTCACATTCTTTGCTAGGTGTTAGGACTTCTTTTCTGCTTAGAATTCCGTTTGAATAGATAGATAGTAGAGGGTGGCTCTTACCTATTTCTGCCGCGAAATACCTTTCGGTCTTTTTTATAGGCCATGAATAAATTCAATACACCTAAACTAAAACAAGTAGTACGTAGTTTTAGTTATTGTTTTTTTTAAATACAATTAATAATTCAAATCATGTACTGGTAACTTATTTTAGTTTCAAGTACATTTGCTTTTAAATGTTAAGCCCATAGATTTCGGTTAAACTTAAGTTTAGGCGGTTTAGCTTAAAAATAATCGTAACATACATATGGCAATTATAACTAAATATTGTTTAACTTCAACTTTGGTCTTACACATAAACACACTTGCATTTTACAGACCTAAAAGTATTTGTAAATGTTTTTTAACTTGGTAATAATTATTTTTTCGCTAGCATAACAATGGCATTCCGAAATTAATCATTACCTCTGTAGTAAGTATTTTCAGCTCGTTACCGTCTTTTGTTGAGAATTTCATAACAGAATAATTAGTACGCCGACTTTTGTTAGCTTGAATATAAAAAAATTCTGAATTATTCGAGTATATAATTTGGGTGTTGCGTAAGAAAGTTTCGCCACCCTATTTCGTCCCGTGGGTGTCGTAAGAAGCCAATTATGAGGAAATGATAAAAAGAGGGCCTTCGATAGATGATGGTATAACAGTCTACAATACACGTGTAATGCCCAAATCAACAGGAAGCAGCATGTATGGTGCGAGACGTTTGGTACTGTGATTGTCAAGATGCCTGTCAAGTGTGACGATTATGGCAAATTATTTTTACAATAGCAGTGGCTCATGTCTAGCAATCGACTTTTGCGGGATAATAATGATGACGATAGTATTTAGATGTGACTGTATTAAGTTAACTGAAAAAGTTATTAAATTTCTAGGTGTACTACCGAAAATTGACCATCCAATAATCAGACCTATCAACAAGCCGCATGCGTTAGTTAAGCGAAACCGACCGTGATAAATATTACGAATTATTTTAGACCATATTTGCATACCATAATAAAAATGGTGTGTTTGGTTAGCGAGAACAAGGTGGCTTTATATGTACGAATTCTGTCGTTATGTAGAAATTCATTCACTGCTGTGTTCCGGTTCAAATAGTAATATAGTGCAAGTAACATTTTGACTAAAAATTATCTTAATTCTGAACATTCTGGTAGATATCTGCTTTATTATCAGCCCATGAAACTCCACTGCTAGACATGGGTCTCGCCTAGGGAGAATTTACCGCAATTGTCACGCTTGGTAGACGTATACACTGTCAGAGACAAGCAACGTTAGAGGCAACCAATATGACAGTTGTGAACTTATTTAATATTCTTGCAGAGAGAAATTGAATGCAAGGGTTCATTAGCTGCAGTATCCATCCAAGAACCCTATCGAACTATTAAGGATATTGGTAACTCGCTTAACACTTTAATGTTCATAAAAATTTCACAACTTTTTGACAACAATACAATGAATGAAAATTTACTTGAATTTCTTCATTAAGCCATTTACTTCAGAGCAGTGAGTCTAATCTGTAGTCTAATAATATAAAAAGTAAGTGTAATAAATATTTAATTAAACATGATGTTGGGACATTATGTTCGATACTTTTAATTTTAAGGACGTTGAAATTCATGACGAACAGTCTCAATTCTATCTCCAATCACTCATTCGAATGGTGGTTTTTTTTTGTCCGCTAAAGTATGTCTCATTACTTATTAGCGTATAACAATACATACAATCCTATGCTCAAAATTCTCGACAACGATCTGTTCTGTAATTAAAATAAAACAATTTAAAAAATAACAAAAATGGTAAAAACCTTTTTTGACTATAAAATTTTTTTACGTGTTATTAAATTTACCAAATATTTTATTATAATATTACGTTTTATTTTTGTTGGTATTTTTAGTAACAAAATTTAAGAACAATTTAAATTATTTGTAAAAATGTGTTTTATGAGTGGTAGAGTCATGCTGCAGCTATATTATTAGTATAGTTGTAGTACGAATGGGTCGGCTCAACCGGGAAAGAACCACGTTCTCTCAAAATACCAGCAGAAAACAGCAGCTCAATGCTGCTGTGTTTCATATGGTGAGTGTAGAGAACCGGAGACCCTTTTACTGGAAACGGGGTATTCCATCTTAGCCCTCACGGTGACAACGCATCTGCATTTTGATTCATATTCGAGAATAGATATAGATATCTATGGGCCACAGCAACCACTTACCATCAGGTGGACGATGTGCTCGTTTGTCAACCTTATCTTACATTAAAAAAAAAACTAAAACGGCTAAGCAACAATGGTTAAATGTGGTTCTTGCATCCATCCTGAAAGTGCCTGGACTGGCTGTTGGACGGAACCGAGTAGTGGTGGTGTACGAATATTAATACATAAATAATATCGCATAGATTTTGTAAGAGGTGACAGAGGGAAATTAAAACGGAAGATGGCAGCAGCAACAACTCAAAACAATAAAAAAGCTGCGCTTACTAACCGGTAACAACTATGGCAAAATCCTCCCTATAAGTCAATCTATGTGGGAGGACTATTTTCAGCAGTCGACTTTAATGGACTGTAACGGATGAATGAATGATTGTACATTTTATTAGTTCCCTCGGAGAAGAAACAGATGATGTAGTAGATCAAGAAAAAGGTACACCCAAATCCAAATTTTAGCAAGATTGTGTTCTCATGTTGTAAAGTAATAAATTAATACATGTTTAAAAACTTTCTATTAAGCATTAAACCTTACAAGAAATTCAAACGCGAATGTGTATGCATATCAGAAATCTTAATAATTCAGCTACATAGAGAATCCAAAACTTTTCAAAGGAATGGAAGCTTAAGATCATAGTTTGCACAAATAATAAACTTGAGGGTGCAGAATCTTAGGTTAAATTTACGAAGCAGCCACAGTCCACTATGCTTAAAAATTTAACTTTCATTTCTAGTGAAGCAGTGACTCTGCAGCGTTTGTACATGTTTTAAAACTACTGTTAAGAGTGACAGTAGATTACTAATAAGCAGTTAAACTCCTCCACTTATACAAGCAGTATAAAGAACTGCGCAGAAAACTAGTTAGGGTCATTCATCGAGTTTTATTCATTGTCGTCATTTGGC